CATCTGAAAACAAGGAAAGGTGCCAAACAATCAACTAATGAAAACTGTAACCCAAAAACTGTAACCCAGTGTTCTAACCACTCAGCCAGCCGCTTCCCTAACTTGCGTACACCATGTTGAAAAACAACAAATTACCACATTTCTTTGGCAATGCAAAAACTGCAATACACCAAAAGAGGTTTGGTATACATGAAAGAACAGCTGATTACAAATAGAGTGGGAACAGTTGTGGCGTAGTGGCTAGACACTTGCCTGCGGATAGGAAGGTTGTGGGTTTGGGTCCTGGCGAAGCCAGATTTTTTGTTTTTCTTCAAATGACTTTGTCTTCCAGAGTGACCCAACCTTAAATAGGTAAAAGGTACAGTCCTAGGAAGTGAAAGCTGATGGGGTGGTGCTAACCTTATCCCCCACCAAGTGCCGATCGGTCTATAAAATATAGGTCCCAATACACCTGAAGGTGTGGAAAAGGGTCCTTGGCTGACACAGAAAGTTATGTTGAGGTGACAAATAGTTAATTTCGTGAAGCTGTGACCTAGTTTAGGGCTGTAGGGCTTGTCAAATACATTAAAACTGAACAGAAACTCCACCAAGAAAACTCCCCATACTATTATTCTGATAAAACACTAATAATCTCCAGGGCAAAATAGTCAAACACTTTGGCTAGCAATGCAAAAGTCATGGTTTTTGGTTTAGTTCCCTGTGCATAGTTGCTGGAGCTATGTGATTTGTGTGATGCTCCTGGCTGGCGGCTTACTGAGCTATATGGAATAACCCAGTGCACTAAAGTAAATCCTCTCGACTTCAACTTTAAAAAAAATAGCATTATCTTTTATATTGACACATACACCTTCCATTTGATGTTGTCCATACACCTAAGTATTTGAATTTCTCCACAAGCAAATACAAAAAGCAACACAGTGTTTGCTGAAATTGGATGTGTTCAGCCGAAAGGGCCACATATTACTACCTGGCAGTAAACCACACCACCACCACTTTGAGGGTGAATGTAGAGGAAGAATTCAACATCACTGACCACCTTTACTCCCCACGACTTTACCTGGTACCCACTTAAGGCTGGGAAGAACTAGCAGCCAATGTCATTAAAAAACAAACACATAAAAAGTGTAAAAGTGTTAAAAAAATGTAACCCACGATCTTCAGATCTTTCTCTTCGGATACGCAGGTGAGTGGCTAGCTGCTACAACACTGCAGATCCCCTCTATAACCAACGCATCATTTATTTTATGTACAACTTCCTTTTTTTGGTATCAAAACATTATTCTCCATCATCACAATGATGATCATCATAATTATCAACTTCTAATTTTTGCATCTGAGCAGTGGAAGTAGAACAGTTGCAGTTCAGTTCCCACAGATGGTAGCCCTGGCCATAGTTATTCTGTGTGGGAGTACAATGTCATGAAAACATTCATCACCATTATCAGGTGCCTTGCCGACTGGCGTGGGCGATCATGCCTCTCAATAATCTGCGATCTCCTGCAGGATGTATCAGTCCGTGTGCCGACACACCTCCATGCCATTTGCTCAAGTGCAACACGACTGTCAAGCATCTTCTCTGGTTGTCTTCCTCTATCTCTCCTTTCACAGATCTTTCCAGTGGTCACAACATGTTCTATTTTCCCTCTTCTCATAACATGGCCGAAAAATGATGACTGTCTCCTTCTGATGTCTGTGATAAGTTGTCTTCGGGCTCCCGCCTCTTTCAAAACCTCTTGGTTGCTCTTTTTGGCTGTCCAAGGTATTCTAAGCATTCTTCTGTAAAACCACATCTCCGAGGCCTCCAGGAATTGTTTGGCCTGCCTACCGATTGTAAAAGATTCACAGCCATACGTTGAAACTGGATGTTTATAGCAAGCAAGAATTCTTTTTCTAACTCTCAATGACAAGGATATATTGCACAAGATGTTTTTCATTTTATAAAATGCAGTTTTTGCCTGTCCTATTCTGTTTCTTATCTCAGTTATGTATCTTCCATCTGATGTTATCCATGTGCCCAGATACTTAAATTTCTGTACTTGTCCTAAAATAACACCATCACCTTTTATTACACACTTAGGAATAATTTGTTTCTTTGATACCACCATTACTTCTGTCTTCCCATTTTTCAAACTGAGGCCAAGTCTTCCACTTTCTAACACCACAATGTCTATCATTTCCTGTAGTTCTTTCTGACTTGTTGCTATCAAGACTGTGTCATCAGCATAACGTAAATTGTTTATATTGTGCCCACCAACCACAATTCCGGGCATACAAATTAAAGCTCTCATTATATATTCACTGTAAATTAAAAACAAATCAGGTGACAGTACACATCCTTGTCGTACGCTCCTCTTTACATTACCAAACATTAACACAAATGAAATGTCTAGTTCCCACTGTCTTAACCTACTGCACAGATTCAGTCAATCAGATTTTGTAACTGAGCGTTAGGTGCGATTCTGATGTGGGACTGCTAGTACTGGCACAATTGACAGCTGCCTTAAATATTTTTACTTTGTATCTGCAAGTTTCATGATTTTGCTAGTAGAGACAATTTTTTCACTAGTTATTAAATAGGACAGACGGGCATTTTTTGTGATTTCCACTCTCAAAGGAACAGAACAGTTATAGGGCCTGTCTGTGAAGAATTTGGAGCCTCAGCTAACAACAGTAAAAGAAAATAAAGGACCATTTTCCATGAAGCACATAAACAATAAGGAGCTGGCCCTATTGTTTCTGCACTAATCAATATTTGAGAGTGATGGGATGATACTATACAGGCCATCTTTACTTCCCTTAACATTTTCTGGTACTCATTTTCCAGCAGACAGCTCAGGCCAGATGACAGGTCAATCCCAGCCATCATTTGGATGCAAACACAATAGCATCAGCAGACTTGAGTCTAGCCACTGTGAACAGCAGCCTCCTTCAACAAACTACACATCAATAATCTATTACAATCAACTCTTATCAGCACCAGATGAAAGTTAAAGTAATTATTCTCCATGTAGGTTCCTGGAAACTACTGTGGGGGAACCAAGAAAGGACCCCCTCCCTCCCCTTTTTTTCACGTTGAGCATGTCATTAAGAGTATTATTTAGAGATGTTTCCTTCAAAGTCGGAGTGCATCTGCCCGAGAGGCTAGGCACCAATTGTCTGCATACAAATAAACCAAATCTGTAAAACAGCTATGCATGCTTCTTTTTTTTGTCTTCTTTGTTCATAGGCTATTAGCCGTGACGAAAAGTCCTGGTTGTATGTCCTTTTGCTTTGGGTCAGGGCCTGAGTTTTGTGTGTAAATCTGTTTTACTGGCTTATTTGTGTGCAGCTGGTTGTTCTTTGCCACTCAGGCAGACGCACTTTGATTTAGTTGACTCCTATGACATAGTTTTATTGTTTTTTTTTATTAAGTAGTGGGTCTATTCTTGTTTTCCCCCACATTGAGGTCCGGAACCCACACAGGGAAGCTATGCATACAAAACTCAGGTTCTGGAACAAGACTAAAATCTTTATTGGCTGCTGAATAAAGGGATGGTGTGAATGTGGAATTTCTTGAGCGCTGTGATGTAAATTCTTAACTCATTCATTCACCTCAGGGCATACAAGCTAACCAGAATGTATGAGCCACATGTCTAAAAATATTGTATTTCTTTTCTTCACATACATGTTCTACTGTTCGCCCACTACCAGTGAGGAGGACCACTCTTTCTTTCATCCGTCATGAAACTATAGTTGATTGTTTGCGAGTTAGGAAGTGACTTATAAGCCCAATACAGACCAAGACGGATCTAGGGCAATGAGAGCAGGGAACAGTCTCTGTTTTTATAGGGCTTGTTATAAGGGTTGTTCTAGTCTGTCTTTGCTGTTCGGCTGCCTTTTGTCTAGATGCCTCGCAACTCGCTGCGCCTTTTCAGATAGACATTCATCATATAGTCCGGTCTTGTGCAGCAGCCTCTCAAAAGCCAGTTTACTCATGCCTATCACTTAACTGCTTGCCCATCGTCACAGGACTAAGTCAGTTGGATGAATTATGAATGAAAAAGTGACTTACATGATGAATTGGTTTAAAGTGAGGACAAGTTGTGTTATATCGCTGAGGTCACTGTCTCCCATGTGTCTAATTTCCAAGTACACAGTCCACAGCTCTACACATGAAATCATTCCAGTCCACAAGTGTTCAGATCTGCTCCTCTGTGTAACAATGTGTAGTGACTGATGAAACTGTCACAGTGAACATTAATATCATTAGGTGGCAGTGTAACTGCTGGTCAGATCTCTCTATGTTATACTGCTTAAATGGATAGCAACTAAATGATGACAGATGCAAATCTCCTCCTCTGAATGACTCATTTGTCTGCAGTATAATTCTTATCAGACTTTTATCTCTTTTATCTGGTCTACCACCTTGCAGGCACATAAAACACTCTGATGTATCCAAAAACATGTCAATTTATAGTGACCCTGACATGAGCTAATCTTACCTTTTACCCCAGTGACCTAGAAAAAAATTGCCCAGATCCTATATTTTTCTTACTTTGAGAATTCCCAACAAATTTTTATTTTTTTAAATCATTAATTTACACATCATAAGAAAAATCACAGAAAATCAATATTAGGATGGAAAAAAACCTAAAGATGAAAAGCAGTAATGAAAAAACATTCAGAATTAAGTCCTTTGACCCTTGAAAGTAAATTATAGCCTGACAATTACCTGACGCTGTGATATGGTTGACTTATGGCTAAAGAGGCAAATACTTAGCCAGAATTTATGTTAAAAAAAAAAAACTTTTTTTTCATAAACCTTTCTATAGGCTATTTTTAAAAATCTATCCATTCCCAGTAATGATAAACATCTGCACAGGCTCAAAAGGAATCAATTCTGTTAACTATGATTCTCAAAATCGAGCCATCGTAACGAGCTTGGAAAGTGGCTCTTATAAGGCAGTGGCAACAACTGGAAGTACTGGGTTTGCTGCTTCTTGTGGCAACAAGGTTTAATGTCATGGACGTACACCTGTGTCTCTCTCCTTGACCGCAAGCCTCGATATGAACTCCAGCAGGTACATCTGAAGTCTAACATCATGCCTATTATTAGTAACATAAAAGCCCGGAACTCCCGCCTTCTCCAACATGCTCTGCTGATCCATCAGCTTCTGATCAAGTTCTAGAATGATCTTCATGTCTCGCCGCTTCATCTCTTCCTCCAGACGCCGGTCCATGGTCTGTAAATGTTTCACATAAAATGAAACAAATGAAACATGTTTTGAATAAAATATAAATTTCTGAAATATGTTACTTAGTTTCATCTCTTTTACAGCAGGACTATTCATTCAATTAACTCTTTGGAGATGGAGCCTTTTTAGAGTTTCAGTGCCAAGAGGACAGAGCCTTCAGGAGGGGATTCTCTTAGTTTACACACACACACAAATTGTAAAAAATAAAGCGTTTCATTACCATATACAAAACTATACATATTAATGTATCTTAAAGTCTATCAAAGTCCAACCCCATGTCCTCGTCGTGAGAGGTGGTAACAGAACAAAGTAGGGGATTGCTAGATGTGGGCGAAATATGGTGTGGCCTCGTGCCATGGGACCGTTACGGTAGCCATGAAGGCCACCCTGGGTCACCCTGAAACGTCCTGGCCAACGGGGCTCTGGTGAAGTTGCGACAGGCCTAGCAAGCCGGCAATGGAATTATTATCGCTACAGAAAACACAATGAGATATAAACGGACTGATCAAACGGTATCTGACCATGGCCTATGGTCGAGGCGGCCAGAAGAGCTAGAAACAGAACCTGATATCTCTCTCGACACCCACAGCGGTAAAAGAGGAAGTAAAGAAGAAGAAGTGAAGAAGAAAAAGACACATATTCATGTTGGAAATTTCCTGAGCTAACAATATTTTTGTATCAAACTCTAATCTCAACATTTATTCAAATTAACTATTCTGATATGCATAACTTATATAAATTTTTTTTTTTAACTTGGAATCAAAAATGACCAGCCTGAAACATTTTAGTGATTTTCTTTGATGGATGAGGACTAAACCAGTCCTAACACTTGTGTTTTGGGAAGTAAAGCCCATGCAGGTCCTTCAGACGCATCTGGCACATGGTTCTACTCCTTTTTCTGCCTATGATGCAACAATCCTTATCACAGTTGTTTGGCACAGGTAACCCCACAAAACAATAAATGTAAAATTACAGAACACGTGAAACTTTCTAGAAAGCTATCACTGAACAGCCTACATGTGCAAAAAATGCAAGAAGCAATCTGACCGGCTGATCTGAAAACCTGCCAGCCAATCTCAAGGCTTGTATTATATAGGGCCGACCGATTGAGCCCAGACTCTTTTTGGCTATTTTGCTGTTGGGGTGAAAGGGTTAAGTTTACTCGTGGCCCAAACAAAAAATGAATTTTTTTAAAAATAAAACCAGAGATATTCATGGGCCAGAGTCCCAGCATAGAAAGATCATTAATACAATACAATTGGCAATGATATGAGGGATGCCACTAGGCCTCTGAGGGCCAGATTTGGCCATCGGAATAGCTCTGCTTTAAAGGATCTTGAAATCCAACCAAAACAATGGTTAGCTATTTTAGTTTTACTAGGCAGTGCTTTTTACTAGTCTGCCATTTTTTAAAAGGACAATGTTCATACTAATTCTCAAAATCATAGAAAAGCTTTTTGCTACCAAATGCTATGCAAATGAATCAAGCCTAGCGTGCAGGAGTTATGAAACCACATTCATATCCAATAAGTCACATATTGTTGCGTGCTGATTTGGGAGAGAATAATATTGTGTGAAGGGACAGTGTGGTATGATAGCACTTTCCGGGAGTTCAAGGGAAAGTGTCAACAGTGGCCCAAGCAGTGAGGGGAAGAGAATGTTTACCAGTGAGAAGTGTAGTGTCACGAGAAAGTAGATACGTGAGTTCACTGTGGAGGCTGACAAGCATGGCTAACGAGACACACACAGAAAAAATTAATTACGTGACAGCGTGATTCTCATGTAACATCAGCCACCAACATAAGCATGATTCTCATGTAACATCAGCCACCCACATAAGCGTGATCCTCGAGAACGCCCACATGAGCATGCCTCTTGTGTAACATCATCCACCCACATAGGTTTGGCAGAGATATATTGGGGCTGCGTAGTCAGTCAGAGTCAGTCAGAGTCCAAAACAGCGAAAGAGAGAGACCAAATCAGGGTCAGTCAGTATTTCTCGAGTGAGTCAGACTGAGTACCGTACAACTATCAGGCATCAAGGTCTGAGAAGGGTTGTGGTTACGGTACGGGTCGAAGGTATACTGGCGAAGTAAGGCCAAAGGGACTGGGCGCTCCAATAGTGACTGTTCTGGGTGACAGTGCAAGGAGACGTAGGATCCCACGGAAACAGAATAGTAGGGATGCCGACGAGAGCTGTGTGCTAGAGGGGACTTGTGTTAGAAGTCCTGTCGGTCACCGGAGTCCTTCAACAGGCTGATGTGCTGTGTGCTGTGGAGAACGGGCAAGTAAAGTCAGTTTCCTCAGCCAAGGTTGTCTGCTGAAATAATATCAAGGTCCAGTGGATAGGAGAGTTCGTCCTGTTTGGCTGTACAGCAAGCCCAGAGTTGTGGGACACTGTAGACCTTCAGAGCCGTAGTGGTCAGGGAGAGGATGCTACAAGTTGAGAGACAGCAGGTGAGGACTATATGGACTACGTTGGAATGTCAATTAGGATCAATGTCTAAGTCTCTGCAGTTTTGTTGATGTGAGGGCTTGTAACTACCCTTTTGTGTTTTGTCGAATAAATATGCCATGTGACAGAACTACTGTAGTCGAGTCCTGCTTCAAGAGTGTGGGAGCGAAAGTTATATCTATAGACACTTGGAAGTGTGCTGATTAGTGTGTAACTCAGATAGCACACAACACATATGCCAAGTTGATTGATAAACAAACAAAAATGGCACAGAAACACAAAAAACATAAAAACATATCTAACTGCTTAACATATCACATCTGAAAATAAAACAAACTAAGCTAGAGACAAGCAAGTGAATGCAACAAACTGGATAAGCAAGATTGTTTACCTCTAACTCTCTCTCTACTTGTGCTTCAACCAAAGGGAGATTATGTGGTTTGTGCTGGTTTTCCATGAGTAGTTCCTTGTGCTTCTTATTCATTTCATGGCGCTGAGCTGTGGATGACACAGACAGATTGTACTGCGAGTAAAAATATTTTATCTTCTCACCAGAGACAATCGAGAGCTGCTGTGATATAGTGGCTTGATGCTCTAACTCTAGCATAAAGGTCTTGGATTCAAACTCTCACTGAGTTTGATTTTATTCCAAAAATGATCCTGGCATTGGCTCCCACGCCAAAGCAACCTTAAATGAGAATGAGGTTAAGTCACAGGAAGTAAAGGCAGCCAGCATGATGTTGACCTCATCACCTATCAATTGCTATTTAGTTTTTATATGTCCAAGACATGACTGCTGTGAAAAGAGTCCTTACGTACTTATTTTAAGAGACTGTTACTGGAGAATGACTCAATACATGCTAGATCAACTACTTAATGAGATGGAGTAATTCCCTTCCTCAGCACTTTTCTTTCCATCACAACTTTCAGAAAATTATGAACATTAACATTTACACTAAGACCACTGCTTAGAAAGATAGGGGAACCTCATTTCCTTTCCTTTCTTGACATTTTACAGTACCAATTTTACAAGTATGGATTAACCCCAGGGCCAAGCTAGTGACAAGAATCCATTATATGAGTTATCTATGGGTTAACCTCAGGGCCAAGCTAGTGACAAGAATCCATTATATGAGTTATCTATGGGTTAACCTCAGGGCCAAGCTAGTGACAAGAATCCATTATATGAGTTATCTATGGGTTAACCTCAGGGCCAAGCTAGTGACAAGAATCCATTTCCTGGGTTATCTATGGGTTAACCTCAGAGTCAAGCTAGTGTGACAAGAATCCATTTCCAGAGTTATCTATGGGTTAACTCTTGGGAAAAGCTAATGACAAGAATCCATTTCCTGAGTTACCTGTGGGTTAACCTCAGGGCCAAGCTAGTAACAAGAATCCATTTCCTGGATTAATTATCTAAAACAAAACTGGATCTTTTTATATCACTCCTATATTCAAAGATCCTCACCCAGTACTCCTAATTTGTTTCACTAGAAAACCACTGCATGCACAAGATACTATTTAAATGACAGACCTCTCATTTCAAGAAATCTAACTTTATCCAGATAGCCTTAGAAATATACACAAAATTTACGAACTCCTATTTCCTGACCATCATGGAACTCCCAAGTACTTTTCACACATCAGAGTTGCCACAGAATGCATTCTGACCAAAAGAGAACAGTCTGCCTTAGAAATTCAGATGATAACCAATCAGACAGAAGATCAAATGGTTTGGTCATCCTGTTAGAATGCAACCACAACCACCAACACAGGCACATCATCATCAGTTCTCGTTATACCTAGTGGCACATGAGGCTTCATAGAGGACTTTCCACGCTTTCTTGTCCTGCACAGTTTTCCATGTGAAAGATGCCGAACTCAGGTCACTTTCCATGGTTCGTTTCCATGTTGTTTTTGGGCGCCCCTGTTTTCTCTTTCCCTCTGGTGTCCATGTGAGAGCTGTTTTGGCGGGTATATCAGGATTCATTCTCATAACGTGGCCAAGCCATTTCCATCTTCTCTTGGTTATCATACTGTCTAAAGTTGCTTGGTTTGTGACTTGAAGTAGTTTAGTATTTGAGATTGTATCTGGCCAGCAAATTTTGATAATTCTACGTAGACATGTGTGGTGGAAGGTGGACAGCTTGTGTGCATTCTTTTTGGTCATTCTTCAGCATTCCGCTCCATAAAGAAGAACTGGCAAAATGATGCTCTTGTAGAGTCGGAGTTTCGTTCCTCTGCAGTGATTGTTTGATTTCCAGATATGCCTCATCCTTCCAAAAGCAGCTCTAGCTTGTTCAGATGTGACTGTATGTCCTCTTCGGTCCCTCCAGGCAGGGACACCACACTGCCAAGATATGTGAAATGTTCTACATTTTCAAGAGTTTGGTTATTTATGATCACTGGTTGTTGGTTTGGACTGCTTGTCATCTTAGATTTCTTTGTATTTATTCTCAGTCCCACCATTTTTGCTGTGCTGTGTAGTCTGTTACTTTTCTCTTGTATATGTTCATGTTTATGTGATAGCAGTGCTATATCATCTGCAAAATCAAGGTCCTCAAGCATGGTGAATGGAGTCCATCGTTTGCCTCTCAATGTTCTGTCTACTGTGTTCTTTAGTATCCAATCAATCACAAGGTTGAAGAGGAGAGATGACATAACACATCCCTGTCTTACATCTGTCTTTACTGGGAAAGATGTATTGCAATTTTTTATACTGCAGGAAAAGTCTTTAAAGAAGAGAGCAATTATGTTGACTATTTTTTCTGGAATTCCATAATGTCGTAAAATTTTCCATAGACTGTCTCTATGGACGCTATCAAAAGCTTTCTCAAAGTCCACAAAATGTATATATATACTACCAACACAGGCACTACACATAAAAAGATTGATGTGAAAGCAAGAGGTTGCCCTAGGAGAAGGTGGATGGATGGAAAGACCTTCTAAAATAAAGACCTTCTACACTGATATGGAATGATAATAGCCATTGCTACCCATGAAGCAGTGAAGCACAAACTGTTTCTCCACATGACACCTAATGCAAGAGCAGAAACTGATCATGATCATGATGACTTATCAGTTGTTAGAACAAAACTAACCCATAAACAGATGAATATGAGTATTCATTGACGGCTCAGCAAAGGAAACTGAAAAGTGACAGAGTAGGTAAAATACATAATGAATGGACATTGGAGCAATCAGAGAAAGCATTCATCCTACATGACATTGCTGAACTTTCTGCCAGAGTTTACAACCAGTAAATATGAAGAAGAAAAATATGCTAGATCTGCCCTGGAACTACCTCAACATATTATAGAATGGCCCATCACAGAACTTACATTTGTGGTCATTGATGAGTTTGAGGCGCTGAGTAAATAGACTCTTCTCTTCCAAGTGCTGCACTTCCTCCAGACTTTTCACAATTTCAAAAGCTGTGCCGTCCAACAGAGCCTTGGCCAGTGCTGAGAGGAGGTCATACGGGAGACGTTGTTGGAATTTACTGTAAAATATCATATTTTAAAAAGTTACATTACAATAAATTTAGGTTACCCAAAATAATGGAAGCAAAACAAAATAAATCTGACAATACTGTAGTCTGTGACACTAAATAGTTATCACCATTATGTTCCATGCCTCACCATGTGGGTTCCAGGACCTCACTGATTTGAAAGGGGGAGGGGGAGGGAGGAAGACCCTATACTCCTTAACAAGCTTGTCATAAAAAGCAATTATTAAGGATTCGCTAAAACTGAATACGTAGAGCAGATAGAGAGGTGTATATATCAACAGCCTAGATATAAAACCACAACACAACATGCCAACCACCCTTTCAAGGGCAAACATAGAAAAAAAGTGTACCACTCTAGGCAATCATCCATATTCTCTTATCATTTATCTCCAATGGAACATACCCTTAACCAGCTGATGCCAAGTCACCTTACTGGATGCCATCATGTACAGCTCATAGATTCTTTCCCTCTTATTCACCTCTGTCTCTGCTTCTCCCATCCACGTGTAGTTTGGTCTCCTATTATTTCTTCTGCCATGTTCAAGCATATTATAAATCTTCCTAAATTTATTATATCCAGCACCAGCATCTTTTCCTCACCTGCTCTGACGCATTCAAAAGTAGCATTGAATTGTGGTCTGATTAACTACTATCTAGTTCAGTGTGGTGACCCCCAACCATAGTTATTTTTGTTGCTACTTTAACACTTCAATGAATATCTGTTTTAGGATGGTCTCAGGCGACCTCTGAAAACGCTGTTCGACCCAAAAAGGGTCATGACCACAGGTTGAAAACCACTGATCAGTTCAACCACTTTTGATAAGGTTTCTGATAGTAATGCTACAGTTTCTGATGGGAAAGCATAGTTTTTTGTTTTTGTTTTTTCTAGGATCATCCGATGTTTTCCTTGCCAGAAGCGCAGCTGTGCGGCTTTGAAATTATGGAAATATTTCACTCCGACATATATGGTTCATTTTTCACAGTGGATAATTAAGATAATTAAAAAAAAAACACTCCTAACTTAAAACACTGGTATGAGAGTCACACCATGGAGTAGCCTAGCTCTTCAGCATGTGAGTGTAATATTCCCTGAGAAAGCAACAGATAAAGTGCAGAGAACCACCATTGTGGAGACATCACAATTTTTTTTGCCGCCAGACTTTGCAGTTATTTTCAATCAGTCCAGTCTTTTTATCTTTTTTTACTTTTTACTGGCTGTTTTCCAAATATCATTTTATATAGTTTCACCATTTAGGATTGATCTTTTTCTTTATTCTAGTAAATTTCAATAAATTTGCATGACATGCAAATGACCTGATACATGAAGTGACTTGATCTGGGACTCCACTTGGAAGCATTCTTGGTGACTTCAGACGTTATGGCAGACTTCGGACTCGACTTCAGACTGAAAGGGTGACAACAGTCAAACCTCTGCTAACATCTAAGACAAGCCTATGGAAATGTCTGGATGGCCATGAAGATAACAAAACTCAAAAGGCTTGAGAATCAACTTATTTTACCCAATGATCAAACTCTTTGCCCGTATTTTACCCAAGAATCAAATTCTTTGCCTGTATTTTACCCAGTGTGACACAGTCACTCTTCAGAGAAATGCTGGTTACCAATGAAAGAGCTGCACATAGAACAAACTCCACAGCTCCAGCAAGGAACCCTTAGGAACTATAAAAAATACCAAAGAGCAAAGCCTTCAAATTAACACACAACTTTACCATGGCGACTCTGAAACTACAAAACACTCACCCAGGCAATTCCCTGGCCATACTCTGCAGCTCATTGAGAAACCTGTAATGCTTATGCTGAAGCTCCTCTTTGCTGTTATCATCCCGACTCATCATAAATGGAAATACATATGTATGATGAGCTGCTCAGTCCTAGGAAGAACAGGGTTTTCTTGAAAATTTCATAAAGTGGCATTCCTGAAAAAAAAAAAAAAAAGACTGTAAATGCATCAAATCAAGTACTGTTCTTACAAAGAAGGTAGGCTGCAGTTGATTTCCAACAAATTCCGTCCTTTGCTGTGGTGATAAGACTCCATCACCATAATCTGTTTTTTCTTCATCTTTAGCATTCACAGCACTTGAGTCATTCCTGCAGATATCACCAGCCTCCATTCATCTGTGTGATTGCTTCTCTTCCAGTTGGAGGCTAAATGTTTCTAGTATCTATCCACTATCTTCTGGTCTGCCTTATAAACTACTCCCATTCAACTATTCATTAATCATAGTTTTAGCCTCTCTGTTACCTGTCATTCTCTCTATGCCTTAACCAATGTAATTTCAGGCTATCCTCCGAAAAATGGTCCTAAATTATCGAGGCGGAAAATATACCCTAACAGGGCCTCAGTCACGTGTCAATTGCGCACTTCCGTCGTCTTAAATTGCACGCTTACGGCAACTTTCGCCACTGCCGAGAGTAACCCCACGCCGCTCATGCGGCGTGGACTGGGCTAAACTAGATGGCTGGGACTCATGAGCAGCAGCTACGGCATCTCCTGTAGCTTCCTTTATTTTTTTTGCTCGTGAGTCCTAGCCATCTAGTCTAGCCCCAATCCACGCCGCGTGAGCGGCGTGGGGGATACTCTCGGCGGTGGCGGAAGTTGCTGGAAGTTCGCAATTTGGCGGTGGCCTTATAGTCCCTGAAAGTGCGCAATTGACACGTAACTGAGGCCCTGTTAGGGTATATTTTCTGCCTCCATAATTTAGGACCGTTATTCGGAGGATAGCCCAATTTTATCTGATGCTATTGCTTATTTTTTAACTATAATTCTTCCATTTACTTTAACTCAGAATTAACTCTTTAGGGCCTGAGCAACAGTGTGAGCATTGATTGAGAAGTTAAATTTTTCCCAAACAACGCTAACATCATCAATCGTGTGTCCCGTACATGTTGCTTCGCACACGGCTTCGTACTTGTTTCTAATGTTCTGAACTATGATTCAAGTATTCAGGGAAAGTCACTCTAACGATTTCCTTTCAACGACATTCTGTATCCCAAGCCAAGGGTGCTAAGATTGATTGTATTCATGGCTACATTTTTTTCAACAGTGCATTTTCTAAGTTTGTTTTCGAGTGCCATGAATACCAATGTTCCAACCACAAGTACAGGTCACAGAATGCATCTTTCTGCAGCCAAAGCTCTAAAATTGTTTCAGTCATATGTTTTTAATTCTGATAATGATAATGAGAATTTAGATTTTTTGGAAAGTAATTTGGACGGCGAATATTTTACCAGCGAAGCTGAGTGATTAGCTGTTGGGAATCTAGCGATTCTGATGAGTTTACAGACAATATCCCATTGCTACCGTATTTATGCTGTAAGAGAAGGAAAGTGCTCTAAACAAAGAGACAGTACTATACTATGGATAAGCTACAATAAAATAAGTGTAGCTACAGTCTGTATATAACTGTACAAAGTAAATAGTGTGTTTGTAATGACCCATTTTTATCTCTGAAATGTTGCCCAGCACTCTGTGAGAACTAAGAGCTCCTGAGTGCTAAAATAACCCAGAAACTTACCATAACTTTGGAATTTGTTTGGAAATTGAACAAACTTTGAAGTTGTGTTCTCAAATAAGGATATTTGCTACTCTTGAGGTGGCAAAACCATGGTAAGTGAAGAATTTGTTTGTAAAACGTTGTTGTTATGAAATTACCATCTGCTGAATTCTTCTTTCCTACTAATTATAACAAATTTAAACATACACTTATTATCAGATTCAAAATTTACATTCATTTCTCTTTAAAAAAATATATACTTTTTTAGAGATTAGAAGTATATTACATTCTCTAATGCCTTTCTTGACCACAACCCCTTCTGCCATTTTTGTAAAGGGAAATTAATGTGGGCCAAGTCTGTCAAAATTCATAAGCCTGAAAGAGTAAGGAATCAGGTAATTTTAAAATAAAACATGACAAGGGAATTTTCAAAATGAAGAGAATTGAAGAGTGTCATGATGGGGAGAACATGGGGTGCGCTGCAAAAGATGGCAAAGAATAGGATGACTTAGAGCATGTCGGCTAAGAACCTATGCTGAAAAAAAAAATACAGAAAAGAAGAAGAAATCACACCCGATGCACATCTTATTTCTAGACAAGGGTTGATTTTTGTTTTTTTAACAGTAATGCCAAACTGGATATTTATTAGCCGCCCTTTTTTTTTAGTTAACTATCCATTTCCAAACAATAAGGCATGTGGTTCTATGCCCCCATTGCCATTATTGTAGACCAATCAGCTTTCAATATTTGATTTCAGCTCTAAGCATCATCAAGATATTTTATATTAGTAATGTAAGCTATCTTCCGAATAACGGTCCCAAATTATCGAAGCCGAAAAAATACCCTAACAAGGCCTCAGTCACGTTATTGCGGACTTCCGCCACTGCCGAGAGTATCTCCCATGCCGCTACGTGCGGCGTAGAGTGGGGCTAAACTAGATGGCTGGGACTCACAAGCAAAAAAATTGAAGGAAGCTGCAGGAGATGCAGTAGCTGCTGCTCGTGAGTCCCAGCCATCTAGTTTAGCCCCAATCCATGCCGCGCGTAGTGGCGTGGGAGATACTCTCAGTGGTGGCAGTAGTCGCCGGAAGTGCGCAATTTAAGTCGCCGGAAGTCTGCAATTTACATGTGACTGAGGCCCTGTTAGGGTATATTTTCGGCCTCGATAATTTAGGACCGTTATTCGGAAGATAGCCGTAATGTAATTATCTACAAGACGGACATTTAGTATTTTATGGCACGACTATTAATAATTGCATTTGTCCTGTTTAGATTGAACGGTGAGACTCTAATTATACTCATATTCGCAGTACTGTGGTTGAGACTGCAAACTAATCAGAGACGGCCCAAAGAACCGCCTGTTGTAAATTGGTATATTGTATAAACGAGGACAAACATGTAGAAACCAGTTGCAGGTCAAATAAACAACGTATTTAAAAAAAAAAAAAAAATCAGATATGATGCTAAGGCTAATCGGCACACTTCCGAATACCGGTCCCAAATTGTTCACAGCGAAAAACATCCCTTTGAGAGCCTTAAAAAATTTTGTTATAAAAATATGTAGGCCATCATCATCAGTTTCCACTTCTGCCGGTCATGCTCGATGGATAGCAATGTTTAGACGTTAAGCTAAGTGCCGTGAGAAAGAATGGTTTTCTATCCATTGAAGCGACGTGGGGAGGATATGTTTTCGCTCCATTAAAGCGGCGTGGAGTGAAATAGTTTTTCATCCATTGTTCACGTCATTACTCGTAACTCGTCGTGTGGTTTCTAGGGCCACAGATTTAAGGAATTAAAAAAAAAAAAGAATAGATCCACTGCCACCTAAAACGCCTTGTAAAAGGAGACTAAATAGGACTTTGCTGAAATCGGTTGTTTTGGGGTGAAAGGCGCAGATACCGCAGTCTAGCTGTAAACCACAAGATCAAGCGAAAGGCGCAGGTATCAAAGCCTAGCTGTAAACCACAAGACCAAGCGAAAGGCGCAGATATCGAAGCCTAGCTGTAAACTACAACACAACGTATTATCCGCCCTTTCAAATGCAAAAACATTAACACCCGGCGGGGAATCTAACGAAGGTCACCCGCGTGACAGGCTGAATACTTGGAAATGTACCACCCAAGACTCGTGAGTTTTGTTCCCATAAAATTAGATAACGAGAAGCATAGTTCGTAGTGTTCCTATTCCATATGTTTAACTATATGACCTCTTGATGCGCTGAATGCAATTTTTTTCACAGTGAATAATTTGGGACCGGTATTCGGAAGAGTGCCGGCTAATCAACTCCTGCTGGGTAAGTAAGTGTCGCTGAGTTACTTGCAGCATCAGACGGGACAGATCAATATTTGATCGGACCAATGTGCTAGGATGCCGAAATGGACAACAAATAACAAGATACACAACTGGAAAGAGGTTCAACTTCTTTAACACGGGTTGAGCACGGAGCTTTGTAATTAGAAACGTACACGCAATTTTTGCAAAATGATGAATGTGGTTATTCGGCGGCTATTGTTGACGGAAGTGTGCTTTTTAATGGTTTTTATACATTAAAGAGCATGACAAACATTTGGAAGTCCAGAACGTGCGACGTTTGGTTGTTATGTTTTTTGTGGAAGTCTGAGTGCGAGTGAACAGTGCAGAGGCACACATGGATAATTAGCTCTGAGGAGAATGACGGTGCAAGTAGTTACAGGGGATCTGGTCGACACTCAGCACTTCGGGAAAAGGCGAGACAGAAATTCAATCAGTTATTTACTGGTGCTGTCAGAATTATAACTCTTCGCTTGCTGGTGAAGATGGGGACGAGGCGCTTATGAGAGTGACCCAAGCAATGTCATGTCGATTCTGATTTTGACATTCAACTCCGAGGAGAAAATAAGGGTGGTTCAGCAGTGTTTACACTGCTGCTGGGCAAGATTGCCAAGGGAAAAAAACGCCATTTTGCGCCAGACCCAAATTTCGCCATAAAAGCGCCAAATAAAATGTAGCATTGTACTCACTTCACATCTAAATCTCTAGATTGAATTCCTGACTGTCATTCTCACCGGAATAAGTGGTAGATACATCGGAAACCTTTTCAGCCTCAAGTGCAGGCGATATAATATTTTTTATTATGCATTAGCATTCAGTTCTATGCAACTGTATATGTTAATATGTACTTACCCGACCATGTGCTATCATGATTTCATTCAGATGATCAATTCTGCGTATTGCTCAATGGCAGGTCATGCTTACAGCAATTTGCAACTCTGCTGCCTTAACTTTATCATTACTTTGCCTAGAAGTCATTGTTGAAATAAGCTATGACTGGCATTTTGATGGAGTCTTCATCCTGTGTTTTGGATTTTTCATTATTTCAAATAATATTTGATGTTACTAATTTTTGGTTACATTAGTGCACTGACAATTTACAATGTGCTGCCTCTGATCCGTCTGAAGATCTTTTGAGCCATGGATGTGTTTTCTACCAATTACTGTTTTACTTAAGACTGCTGTCCTAAGATGCTTTCCATTGTGTGTGTGGATAACGTGGCCATTGGTTTAAAAAAAAATATGTCACAGTTAGAACTAGGTCTATATCATCTTTACTTTCTATCCTTGAGTAGTTTCTGAACAGTCTGAATCACTTGGTAGCACTGGTGGGTTTTGTCATCATGCTCACCGTGCCCAGTAGGAGTCGACTGGTATGTTTTTCCTTGTTGTCTGCACATTTGTCCTTTTTTAATATTAACTTCTAACATGCATTCAGTTCAGCTACTTCTAGAAAGACTTGCATGGCTGGCGGAAAAGAAAGCAGCTCATATATTGATCGTTATCAGCATGCCTAAGAAGACCCAAACTTGCAAACTCCGCCTATATTAGGTTGACAGCATCCAGAAGTTCTCATCAAGCAACTTTATTGGCTGTACACACCAGGATACTGCGGGGAGAAGGGAAATGAAAGAGTTGACAGACAGGCCGTGTCAGCAGTGGTTAGTGGAGGAAGAACTTCGGACAGGGCAGCCATACGTTCTTTTAGACAAGGAGCACTGAACCGCCTGTTAGAAATAGGTATGTGAATATAGAGGAGAGCTGACTCAAAGATAGCATCTTTTCTCGGAAACAAATGCTTAGGTTACACTAAATACCATATGATTTGGAAAGAGCAGTAATGGCGGGTTTAATTCATGGGAAAAGAGGCAGGAATCGACCAGCCTAAAGATGGACATGGAATATCCAGGGCACCCTAAGTTCACCTGGTGGGACATTTGGCAAGGGACCGAGTAGCCTTACAGCGTCCCATAGTGATACTAAGTTATGCAAAGGGTCTTCTGTTATATGAAAATGGTGATGATGGTCATGATGTTGCCGAATTCATAGAAAGGAAATTGCTATTGAAAATGTTATAAAACTGTGACCAAGTAAGCAGCGGACAAAAACTCTTTACTTACACATATAGCTCGCATTATTGAAAATTAAGCATCCATTATTCTTGCATATTCCAGATACAAATATTTGAATAATCCGTGAAAAAGAATTGAAAACTGCAGATAATTAACAAACTACATTATAATGATACATTTTTAAGTGGTATTCACCTCTGATTAGCAGCTTCCTGTTTGTATGTGCCGGTCAGGACAAATTTGAGCGAACTGTGTCCGGAAAGACGGTTATTTTATTGTAATAATTTTGGCAATGATAAATTAAGGATTTCTGAGGATCGCTCACTTCGTGAAGTTAGTTTAATTAATATCAGAATCGTTGCAGCCGTCCACAGTACGTATTGAAATTGTTTTTGTATTATCAGTCCATCCTTGATCCACCCATTTGATCATTTTGATCAATTTCCACTTCTGCCGTTTAGCGTTGTTAGGAGGAACAGTTTGCTATGAATTGCTTGATGGTCAGCAATGGCTGTTGTCATTCACTGTCGATGTAGAAGCTCTTGCTTTCACTTCAGATCTATTAACATGTAGCGCCTGCGTTGGTTGTTGTTCTGGCTGCATTCCTATTATTGACCATACCAGCTGATCTTCTATTTCTTCATGAAATTGCTGCATGGTGTTGTTCCTACAGTTTGTCTGATACTATCATATCTAACTTTGTCTTGGTTAGTTAAGTTGGCGGCTTGTCTAAGGCATATCATTTCAGAGGTGTTAATTTTACACAGGTTAGCCTTGGAGGATGTCCAAGTCTGGCACTGGTAGCACAGTGTTGGTATGTAAATGCTGTTTATAATCTGTTTCTTGGCGCTCATACTTGTGTTTTTATGTGTTAATAACGGTGTCATTTGGTATGTAAGAACACTAGCTCGTTGGCATCTTGTTTCTATTTCCCTAGATATTTTCCTCCGATAGTACACTTCCTATATATTTAATTTATTTAACTTGCTTCAGACAAATACCATGCAACCCTATATGCAGCAGAAGAGGAGTTCTTCTGATCTGCATTAATTCAGTTTTAGTAGTAATTATTTTCATGTTATGACTTCTGCATGTTGAACTTAGCCTGTTCAAATATTCTTACAGTCTACTCCCCTAGTTGTAGAGCAGGCATTGTTCGTATGCAAATAGTAGCTCAATTACTATGTGTAGATCAAATTCTTTTCCTGGAAATTGAATTTCTTCATTGTTTAGGTCGACTGCTTTGAAGCTTGCTTCTTTTGGTATTCTGAATATTTCTATAGTAAAAAAGAGAAGAAAGAGCACATATCCCTGCCTCACCCCTGTATTGATCGTAAACATATCAGATATGCCTTCTCGTGTTCTCACTGCCCTTTGGAAGTATGGTACACGACCATGATGTTTTCTAGCAACTGTCCTTGTATTCTATAATCCTCAAGAAAAGCCCATAGTTTGTTTCTGTCTATTCTGTCAAAAGCTTTTTCTTGATCTAGAAACACAATTTGCAATGGTTTTCTGCTAAACTTATCTTAGTGTAAATAATGCATCTGTGCAGCCTTTTCCTTTCCTAAAACCAAATTCTGATGTACTCAGGCACTATTCCATTATAGGTCTAACTCTCTGTTTTAATAACTTTGCGAAAAATTTTCCTATGTGGCTCAAGAGTGACATACCCCTGTACGACGCAAAGTCTCTTGTATTGCCTTTCTTTTTCCAAACTGGTAATATCAATGCCTGCTACCAGTCAAACGGAACTTTCCTTTCTTTCCATGCTGTACTGAAAATTCTTTTTAGCCATTTGATACCAATTTAGCTTTTATAGTTATTCCATCTATATCAGCGTCTTTGTTTTTATGGGTCTGCTGTATTACAGCTTTTAATTCTGATGTTAAAAAGTTTGATGCATTTTTGTCACTGCTTTTAGGAACAAATACTGATGCTATCTACCTCGTTTTCAGGGTTTGCGTAGCTCTTTAAAATATTCTGCCCTTCTTGATAGACTGATGCGGATTAAATACAGGACTTGTTGTTTATATGGTGGTTGGACGATACCACTCAACTCTTGCTCTCATATTTTTAACCTGTTGTATCGAAACTTCTACTAAGTGTGGCCATCTGTTCTCCCTACGTTTTCCATAATTCATCTTTAGAAGCTTTGATCATTCGTTTGGATCTCTTCTTGCCAATTTATATGTAACAAAATCTTGTTCACATTTTGATTTAATCCATTTTTTTGAAATGATATCTTGGACATCGTTATTCCACGATGCAGTTCTTAATCGTTTGTCTGTTCCTGCTTTACTAGAAGCAAAGCCTAAAGAGGAAGATCTTGTATAGAAGGCAGAAGAGAGACACAATTGAGAATAGTAACAAATGTAATCCAATAATACTAAAAATTTGAAAGGTAGCATAACGCAATAAGCATCATTGACAGCAACTAAATATTAATTACAAACTCTGAAATGCTCTCGACTGGCATCTACATGTTAAAACAATAATGCAAAGTACTAAAAAAATTACTAACAAATTCAAGGCAAAAAAACCAAATGCTTAGCATACTATAAACGTTTAATGGGGTAATTTGTATGCATATAATGTATGTGGTATGTAGTAAGATCATATTCAAATGGTTTGCGACGGTATGTATAGGGGTAATTGGTATATCTGACTGGCTGTGAAAGGGATACCACAGCTGAGCTGCAGAGAACGCTGACGAGGAACTACTTTGTGATACAGCGGGCGTGGTGAAGGGTCAATGAAGAAACAGTGGAACAGAACAGACAAAATTTCAAACTCTAGAGATAACGATTTCTGTTTCAACCTGAAGGCTAACTGGGTGAACAAATGCTCCATGAAGTCAGATGTGTCGACCGATACAGGCCCAATATAATTAGGTCACTCTGATCCGGAAAAAAAGGCTTAGGACAAGTGTCAACTGGCACCATCAGTACATGAAATCTTCATTGGTTGTTCTGGAAAGGGGACGGAGCAGGTAAAGGGAGTACCCTGAGTGCGGTCTGCTCTTGATTAATTCATGCGTACATTTATTATGTGAAAACTACCACTGCTACGTTTGATATTCTCCCGCAGACTGGCATCAAACGTCTGAACATGGGATTTTTTTTAGACTCATAGCGTAACGATAATAAATTACTGTTTCAAATATAATGCTTTGATAGGTGTTCTGGCTCTGCTTCGCGATATTAGCTAGATGATCGACTGACCCGATGGGCCTGGATTTGGATTTCAATCGAATAAGAACAGATCCAAGATACTTTACTGACTATCCCTTCAAATCGTTTAAACAAAATTGTTATGATTAACAGCCGTACAGACTAGATTCTTCATACGAATATAATGTTCTTGTATTCTTTTACCATTTATACCCCACAACCAATGTACCTACCCCTCCCCCTCCCCCCCCCCCCCATATACTTGTCAGTACTTTAAAGTTATGTTTATTTTAGATGTCAAGCACTCCAAGCCAGATCGTAAACAGGTTAAGATCATACAAAAATAACTCACGAGACTCGCAAGAACTGAGAAAACGGCGAGAAGAAGAAGGCGTTCAAATCAGAAAGCTGAAACGTGATGAACAGGTAACATTACTGTGGGGCATTTTCTAATATTACCTTGTGATTTTTTTTAAATTTCTTCTGGGGGGAATTTCAAAGATTTTATATGCGGGGTCTCCTAGAGTCATTGTTGCGATGCCAGTCCAAAAATAGGAAACACCATGCACCCTGTTCATTGTTCATTGTTAAGATAATTTTCCTCGGGCATGACCATAAGTGCTCCGATCTCCTCCTGTGTCTTTTCCAAGTGTTTTTAGGCTAACAACTCCCAATCACGCACCCTATTCAAGCATTTTACACAGGTATATTGGGTCACCCTACGGTTAGAAAGTAACCTGCTGTCTTTTGAGGGTAAAGACATGAATGTGCTGTGTCATATTCGTCAGTGTAGGTATGCACACAATGAGTTTCGCATCCTTTGCAGACGTTAGGGGAGCAATCCCATCACTGTGTGTATGTCTGTGGCTGTGTGTGCTTTAAAAAGGCACTTTTACTACATTAGTTTGTCATTGCTTACTAAACGGTCGGTTCTGGATACCACTGTCAAAACCAACGCAGGGTGATATACTACCAGATCGCCTGCAGATGGAAACTAACCCGGCATCTCAGAATTTGGAAACTCGTTCGCAATGCCTGATAAAACAATGTTCTAAAAAGATAGCTGTAGTTTTCTGTAAGCAGAGGTGTATTTGAGGCCTCATCATCATCAGGTGCCTTGCCGACTGGCGTGGGCGATCATGCCTCTCCATAATCCGCGATCTCCTGCAGCATGTATCAGTTCGTGTGCCGACACACCTCCATGCCATGCAACAAGACTGTCAAGCATCTTCTCTCGTTGTCTTCCTCTATCCCTCCTTCCACAGATCTTTCCAGTGGTCACAACATGTTCTATTTTCCCTCTTCTCATAACATGGCCGAAAAATGATGACTGTCTCCTTCTGATGTCAGTGATAAGTTGTCTTCGGTCTCCCGCCTCTTTTAAAACCTCTTGGTTGCTCTTTTTGGCTGTCCAAGGTATTCTAAGCATTCTTCTGTAAAACCACATCTCTGAGGCCTCTAAAAATTGTTTGGCCTGCCTACCGATTGTCCAGGATTCACATCCATATGTTAAAAATGGATGTATGTAGCAAGCAAGAATTCTTTTTCTAACTCTCAATGACAAGGATATATTGCACAAGATGTTTTTCATTTTATAAAATGCAGTTTTGCCTGTCCAATTCTGTTCTCTTATTTCAGTTATGCATCTTCCATCTGATGTTATCCATGTGCCCAGATACTTAAATTTCTGTACTTGTCTTAAAATAACACCATTGACTTTTATTACACATTTAGGAATAATTTGTTTCTTTGATACCACCATTACTTCTGTCTTCCCATTATTCAAACTGAGGCCCATTCTTCCACTTTCTAACACCACAATGTCTATCATTTCCTGTAATTCTTTCTGACTTGTTGCTATCAAGACTGTGTCATCAGCATAACGTAAATTGTTTATATTGTGCCCACCAACCACGATTCCGGGCATATCAATTAAAGATCTCATAATATATTCACTGTATATTGAAAACAAATCAGGTGAAAGTACACATCCTTGTCGTACGCCCCTATGCTGCCTGTGTCAGACCCAAATAGACCTTTGCTACAAATAATGAGTGCAGTATCTCGAAAGACATTTTATATGTATTAGAAGATCTGCTGGAGTAAGTGAAAAAAAGCATTACCAGTAAAGAAATTAGAAAAAAACTGATACTGAAATCAGTCACAGTTCACTCAAGGGAAACAGAGATGGTTCGGCCATCTGACTAGAATGTCAAGTAGCCAGCTGCCACAAGGAGCCATACTGAAGAAATATGAATGCAGAGCCAGGGGAAGACCACGCAAAAAATGGACTGGTAGCTTCAATATCAACCTTTAAGATATAAAAACTAACTTGTGCAACACATTGAAAAGAGCACACTGGGGATCCTCGTATCTTCCTCCAACATTTCGATGAGCTAACTGTCGGAAGAGAATAAGAAGAAGGGTTGATGGTTTGAATGGTTTGAACAACAGATCAACATCATGGCGCAAGGGTAGTAACCCATAAGTACACCGTTCTACTTCTAACTCACGCCTGAGTTCGAAGAATCTCAGGGCAGTGCCCGAGCTCCAAAGCACCGGCGAGGAACCTTAACTACTTTTGGTACATTTTTTTAATCTTTAAATTTTGCCCGAGAAGCGCCGTTAGGCTACTCCTTTCGATTTCTGAATGCCAAAGGATTTTTTTTACGTGCGCAACAAAAGACACATGCTTCCGATCTTACAACTAATAGATCAAGAGAAATTAGAAGTCCACGTGAAAAAATCCCAGCCTTTACCAGGGCCTGAACACGGGACCTCCAGCACTCAAGGCTGACGCCATGCCTTGAGACCACTCAGCCCCCATATTTGGTATGACAGTCTAGCCTTGTACCACTTACAGACCACTAAGCCCTCAAGCAATAGTTTACGTTGGGAGTACCAGGAGTATTGAGAATGTAATGCACCACATTGTTTGCTCTCGGAAAATGTTTCTGTAAACGGTATCAAATTTAGAGACATTATAATTTACTATTTCCTTGCAAATCATAATTTTCTGCGTGGCATCCGTCTACATTCCGGACTTCACTGCCAAACAAATTCAGAGTGAAATCTTCTTTCTGATAAGAATTTGTTAATTTCACGTATGAGTTTGTTTAATTCCTCAAATACAGGTTTTCAAGCGAAGAAACGTTGCAGAGCCAGAAGTAAATCAAACGGACTTGTTTGCAGATGGTCAGCGACCCATCAAGCCGTCGAAAGTTAGTTTTAGACAATAAATAGTTTTGTCAATATTGAAGTGACGAAATATGGGGCATTAGGTACCTCCACCCCCCCCCCCCCCCACACACATCTTTATTTTTTTTGTGTTATGTTGTTAACCTCTTTAATTTATAAAGGAGCTAAGCTTCCCCCCCCCCCCCCCCCACTAGTTCTCTTTTGAATTTTTTTAAATACACATAATATTTCAAATGTATTATTACTCATTTTCGTTTCAATTCAGCACATTAAAATATTATTATTATGTATTATTGTTATGTATTATTATTATGTATTATTATTATTATTATTGTAACGCACTTAAACAGGACATACGCCCTATAGTGCCTATTATATTACATGTGCTGCTCACTATAACACGTTACTTTTTGTAACACATTTGTTATAGGAGTCCATGACTTTTAACTGGCGAGTTTCTAGCTGCTGCCGCGGTTCCTGGCCATTTTTTTGAATTGATTCATAGGTACTCATAGCAGAACTTACGGAGTGCCTACAGAACCACCTACATCAAATTAATAAGAAGGGCGAGGAATATAGTATGAAAATAAACACTAAGAAGACAGAGACAATGGTGACAGAAAGACAATTTGGAAATAAAATTAAAAAACGACGCCTTATGACAAACAGAGGAATTCAAGTATTTGGGAACAAATTTCACATCCGTTGGAACACTGGACAGAGAAATAAGCGCGACGTATACCAAATCTAATCAAGTAACGGAGCACCTACCTTCCCTGTTGACACACCCAGAGTACTAAAGTGAATCTTATCAAAACTATTTATTGGCTAACACCATGCTATCAGTGCCAAACATGGACACTTAAATCCTCTAATGAACGTAAAATTGTGACAACAGAGATAAAATGCACTAGAAGAGCTGCATATGTTTCAAGGAAAGACAGAATACGAAATTAGATTAATGCTGGGAATAAAGCCAGTCTCACAAGTCATCAGAAAACAACAAATGAATTGGTTTGGATACCTAACAAGAATGCCCTGGTACTATCTACCACAGCGAGCCACACTGAAACGTTACAACGGGTATAGAGCGAGCAGATGACCTCGTAAAATAGTGAGTGATTTCATTAAGAACAGTCATACATAAATTAACGACAATCTTATTAGTGCTTTTGACAGAGCTCATCAACGAACGTTACATCTCCCCCACAACACTTCACTGAGATACAAGGTGGAAAAGAAGAAGACGACTAATTTGTTTTCCACTGACTGCTCTGTTTGCTCACAGTCCATGGCTTTGTTAATACGTCTTCTTCTTTTCTCTACTAATGAAACGCCTCGCGGCGTCAGGGCATGAAGAGATCTCTGGAGGGGGCCCTTCTGTTCGCCTCGTATAAAGTTTCTTTTCAGTGTCTGATAATTTATGCGGTCCATGTTCTGCGTGGATCTGTTACCGCTGTATCTCTATAACTTGTTGTCTCTGGTGCCCTGTCTGATGCCAATCTTTTTTTTTTAACGGCAAAACCATTTGATTTAGTGTCTACGCATAAAGTTCAGTATTGGTCTGTGCCCACTCCCCTACTGATATCATCTTTCCTTATTCGATCTTTCCTTGTTATACCTAGCATAGTACGTAAACATGGCTTTTTTTTTCGTGACTATTTTCCTTCTGTCTTCTGAAGACATTGTTCATGTTCGACATTGATAGCATGTAGCTAAAAAGAATGTTGTGTTGAACATGGTTCTTTTAGTGTTCATATTCTCAAGCTTGCATTTCAAAATTGGAGTCATTTGGCTTAAACCTTAACTGGCTTTATTGCAACTTTCTTGGATGTCTTTATTAATTCATAAGTCTCCTGAAAAAAATCTCCTCAGATGTGTAAAAATCCTTCGCCTGCTTTAACTGGTTTTCATTAATTTTGTTATTGGTGGTTCTTCTTTTTAAGGAAAATGTCATCACCTCTGTTTTGTCTACGTTGATCTTCTTATCATAGTTCTCGCATTCTGAGTGTAGTGTATTAATATGTACTTGTATTTGTACGTACTGCTGTTGGTGCTATGTTTGCCTAGTCATTTGCGAAAAGAAACTCAATGATGTCCTCTTCCTTTACTGGTGTTAAAAAGTAAGTAACAGAGTAAAGCTCCCTTTTGCACACCTTTAGGCGAATATGGCATATAGGGCTAGACCAATATTTTGCTAGACCGATCGGCACAAGATGGGAGATGTGGTCAGCATCACGCCGACCGCCTTTACTTTCTGGGATGCACCCGGTACCCACTCAAGGCTGGGTCACTCAAGGTCATATTTTTGCTGGCGATAGCTGACCTATGTGATAAACCGTAGTGGTGATAGAACTCATCCCTGTCACACTCCAGGTCTAATGCAGAACTTTTCTGACATTCCTGTATATGTTCTAACTGCGAACAAGGTGGCATAATGCATAGGGAGAAAAACAAATATGTATCGATGTTAGTATTCTTTAACACATAAAACGTGTTGTGGTTAGTTTGGGCCATTTTTCTAGGTAACGATTGATCCTACGATGATAAAGGCACTGTACAGTGAAGCTGTGGAGGAGCAGGAAATGGCAGCACAGAAATTCAGAAAGCTCTTATCTACAGGCGAGTCATTGACTGTAGACGTTTCTCTTCTAGACGATTTCACGTCGATCCTTAAGGCAGGGTCTTTATCGCTCACCCGATATCTGTTGTTGATGTTATTGCTTTATATATGGCATAGGCTTTGCGAGTCCGACTCGTAATCCAGGGTAGTGCGGTCGAAACCCACTGCTGGCTGCGTGAATTTTTATCTTGGTACAGGGCGTCGCAGGTCGACCCAGCCTAAAATGGGTACCAGGATGGCCTGTCCTGGGAAAGTAAAGACAGCCGGCGTAATGCTGACCACATTACCCACCGAGTGCTGATGGTCTGTAAAAATATGGGGCGCTCTTCTCATATGCCCGATACGCCTAAAGGCGGAGAAAGGGATCTTTATATATATATATATATATATATATATATATATATATATATATATATATATATATATATATATATATATATATATATATAGATAGACTAAATACGTCGCTGAACTGGTCATTGTGGAATCTTTTTTTCCCATCTTTTTAGCAAATGTAAAAAAAAATAAAAAAATAATGATATCTGAGATTCAAAGCGGGGGTGGTAACACGATTCACACGTTACACATGCTAGTTAGTTAGTTGGGTATCCCGTACAGAACGTTGCAGAACCAACCCCAACAGCTCCTGGCTGTTGTGTGATTTTCTAGACAAATTTATGTCTAGTAGTTTGCCATTGCTTTCTGGACTGTCGGCTTCTTTGATACCACTGTCGAAACCAACGCAAGGCGCATGGCCCGCAGCTGGGATCGAACCCGGCATCTCGGCATTACGAAGCGTTACACAGGTACAGGACACTTTTTTAACAGACATCGGAAAAAACAGGGAACATCTGGAGCAGCGATTAACTCACCATTTCGGTAACTAAAGAGTTGAGGTGAGTCCCATGCATGCTCCGTCCTCATCTTCAGCAGCCAGCGCAACGTTCCAATACTGAAGGTACCGGTCACAATCTGGTTATATGTCCGTCTTGCCTTTCCTCTGAGTGTAGTTAGAAAGGCCAGACCCTCTGGTTACACCCAGGTGCCTCATTCTCTCCAGGCCAAAATAATCTTTCTCAACTGATTCCTTTTGCGTATCCCCAAATGACCTTGGCCACATCTGCCTTGTCATGTATCAATTCACCACCCAGTGGTACAGATCCAGCCAACAGACAGATTCATTCCCTTCCCCGTCCCCATGTATGAATGTCACACTGATACTGAATTGGAGTAATTTAGCCAGGCCGATGAAGGTATCATACTGCGTATTATATTTCACCTTTCTTCGCGATGACATCTCATTAGGATACACCAGATACACCTGAGAACACGACATTCTCTAAGCACCCAATTTACCTGCAGTTTGAGTATGCGTGCTGAATTTTAGTAATACAGTGAGATAGTATTTTGGCTACGGGACACCAGTAGCAAACACATATCTTCGTGTAGGGAGTCGGCAGTCCGAAACCCAAGTTCAAGGTGTCTCCTTCGTGCCAAAGAACTGCATGGCTGTTGGGTGAACTGTCGTTAACGAAGGCAGTCAGGTCGTTGTTGGGGCGATGCTTGCTGGTGGATGTAATGTCCTAAATCCCTTTCCCAGCTAATAGTAGGGTACTGCTGGGGTGACAGTTTATTAACCCTCACTTAATGCTTCAGGTCCAAATGAACACTAGGCACTGCCACTGTTTTGAGCCGAGGCAAAAAGTGTTTGCTTCTGCCAGACTGTGGCCGTTGCTTTTTTGCTCCATTTGTAGACTGGAAGTATATAGTCTTTCCACAAGGGACTGTGATAAACATTCTGTGTGTTTTTCGTTGGCACAGGAGCGGAGCAAAGATGGGGTGACCCGTTTGCTATGAAGCTGAAATTAAAATTACCAGATTACCAGATACTATGTGGGTAACACATGATCCCTACACTACTGCCCTGGTGTTAGTGCCGTGTGGAGGAGGAATTTTATCTCTAGCCATGAGCCTTACCAATATTGATTTGGTGTTCTTATTTCCTTCAGAGCCGGACCCGCCAATAGATGCAGTAGTTCAGGCTGGAATAATTCCACGACTTGTTGAATTTTTGCAGACGGATAGCAGGTGGTCTTTGCAGGTTAGTGTGTTTCATCTTTCTTCTCTTTCTTCTCTTCTTTTGTCTCTCCGTCTCCTTTATATTCTCAGATCGCTTCTTCTTTTCTTTTCCTTCTAAAGATGTTGCCATCACCAAGTTGTGTACAGATACCTCCCCATACCATGACTATGGCTGTGAAGTTAATCCAACTTATATCTCAACTGACAAGACAAAAATCTGCTTCCTATCTCTTTTTCTATGAACCTTTCTTCTAGTCGTCACTTGTGCTCATTGTTCTCTTCTCATCCATCAGACTATCAATCAGGCGCCATCTCCGCAATGACCACAATAGATCTGCCGGACTCCATGTCTCCTGTCTTGGTAGCATTCTCTTTCATGCTGCTGTTAGTGCATCTCTTGATTGTGTCCCTCTCCTGGCTTCACTTTTCCCTCCAGTATATTTTTTAAAACAGTGCTGTGTCTTTTAATGAGACAGCACAATTTCAAATTTTTTTTCTCTCTCTCTTCTCTCTCTCTCTCTTTCCTCTCTCTCTCTCTCTCTCTCTCTCTCTCTCTCATTCTCACTCTCACTCTCTCTCTCTCTTTTCTCTCTCTCTCTCTCTCTCTCTCTCTCATTCTCACTCTCTCTCTCTCTCTCATTCTCACTCTCACTCTCTCTCTCTCTTTTCAGTAACTCACTTGTAATTCCCGTCTCTCAAGAACCTTTGTTCTCATAATCTGACCAAAACGTTATGACCGTCTTTTTTTATGGGGGTGATGCTCTATGGCCATGTTAAGCGTCACGGCAGTTGAAGAGAGCAGTGATGGAAAGTATAGTTTTTGCCTAATGAGGCAGAGGCAGGTGTCCGCGAAAGTTGATACAAGACATTGAAGTTGAATTTGCCATCAAAGCACACATGGCTAAAGAAAGCGAGACTTTCAAGCGTGCTGAAACGAGAGTGACGTTCTGTATAACACCTACTGATTGATGTTGATGATGATGCTCTTTGTATCTTAACCTCTGACATCTAGACTGCTCATCTGGAGTAATGTGTGACGTTCTTCTATAAAACAATGTGTGAGGCACCAGTGTTTCCTTCTATATCTATATCCTCTTCATGTCGCTGTTGACACATAAGGCGTTCACAAGTGATCTCCATTGCTGCCGGTCTGCTGCTTTTCTGCCCATGGTATCCCATGTCGGTTTACATTCCTTCATTTCCCGTTCTGTTGTCCTCCTCCAGGTTTCCTTAGGTCGTCCACGTCTCCTTTTCCCATCTGCTGTCCACCAGAGAGCTGTTTTTGCCAGAGTGTCACAAGGCATTCTGCAAACAGGTCCAAGCAATCTCCATCGTCTTACTTTGATAACATTTGCCAATGATGCTCATTCTGTTTTCCTCCTCAGTTCTTCATTTGTGATCTTGTTTGGCCAAAATTTTCGTAGAATTCTCCTTATACATTTATTATGAAAAGTCTGTAGTGTTTCCTTGCTTGTACAATATTCAGAATTTACATATATTTACTAGAACTGGTTCTACAAAAATTGCAATTCTTTGTCTAACTCTGAAGGGTTTAATTGCATAAGATACCCTTAGTATAATAAAATGTAGTTTGTGCATTTCCTATAGACTTTTTTTCTCCAACTTTGAGCTTCATCCCTAATCTATGATCAAAATAAATAACAAAATCAGGGCTGTTTTCTGGCGGTACGCAGTACTAGCACCAGTTTTAAGGCATCAATTATTCAGCTGCTGTAATGGACACTGTGTGGTGATTGCGGGCATATCATTTGTAGAATTATCTATGAAAGAAAAGTGACGAGAAAGAGAACGTGGCAGTCTGCCTCATATACTATAGCCTAGAAAATGTGAAGGTATAACACTTCATACACCAGCAAGACTGACTGCTGTTGGATTACCTTTACCTTTGGTTATAAACAGTTGCACACTTTTAGTACCAACCAACCGATCACGCAAATGATGTTCTGTTCCAAACGTTTCTGTGTTACCTGTTCCCAGGAGTGAATAAGGCAGTGATGGATCATGACTCATGGGCAACACATGATCTCTACAAGACTGCCCAGTCTTTGTGCTATGGAGAAGAGGAACACCTCCACCCCTCTCCCCTGGCCTGTTTTATTTCCCAGGAAACAAATCGAGAGGCAGCAGTTATGGGTAAAATGACCGTGTTAATAGGAGCTCTGATTCCCACGCCTCCATAAAGCATAGTTTAATACTGTCATCTGGAAAAAAAAAACAGAAGGGTCCCAACCAGCCATTCACTTGTTAATTTATCACATCTGTTCCAACAAAATGAGGTTAAAGTAAACAGATCGTTAGGCCAAAATCTGTTTTGAAAGATACCATGAGACGGCTCTTTTGGTAGTGAAAGAGTTAAATGTATTATTATTAATACTAACTGTGGCCGGCCTCCACAATAGAGGCTGGCTATAGTGACCTACTGCTGCCTTTCGGGATATTACAGGGTGAGTCTCCAGAATATTCAGTGGTGTGATTCTCGTACCACTGTCTGAAAGCAATGAGAGCATTTACAAATATATATATATATATATATATATATATATATATATATATATATATATATATATACATATATATATATACATATATATATATATATATATATATATATATATATATATATATATATATATATATATATATATATTTATAGCCGTCCGCCTCAGACACTAAACCCAAGTACTCGAAAATCATGAAACTGTTAAATGCATTCACTAACCTAACCCACAGTTTGAAGCGGCTTGGGCACTGACGAACATTGTATCCGGTACATCCCAGCAAACACAGACTGTGATTCATGCGGGGGCAGTGCCCATATTTATACGTCTGCTTCACTCTACAGTTGAAGACATACAAGATCAGGCAAGTGTTTCTGCTTTGGTTTGGATGGGGATTCCCCGTTTGTTTTCCGTGCCTCATTTTGTAGGAAAGAAGAATAGACGCACATTTCTTAACAAAGATGTCGTAAAAGGCTACCTAATTAATGGTTTGCTGAAATAAGATGTGCTGGGCCGAAGGGCGCAGACATCGCGACCTATATGTAAACAACAACACAACATAACAACCCCCTCTTTTTATGGCAAACACAGAAGAAGGAGAAAAACGGCATATGTTTTGTATATCCTAGAATTAAAATGGCAAGCTTTAGATATTTTCTCAGGCCTATATCTTAAAAAACAAACAGACAAATAGATTAGCTGTTTATGCCCCACTTGGTGGGGATGCATAGCAAGCTAGATTTAGTTAGAACTTTTTTGGGAGCGAGTAAACAGTCTAGAAGCACAAATGGTTAGACAATCACGGTGTGAAGAGATTGGTGTATCATGGAGGGACCAGGGGATCTGACCGACGCTCACCACTCCAAGGAAGGGCGAGACGGAAATACAACCACACTGCTACTGGCATCATCGGAATTGGAACTGTTCACTTGCAGCTCAAGATGAAAAGGAAGCATTTATGGTTATGTCCCAAGTGCCGTCGTGTGAATTCTTAACTCATAACTTGAACGGCAGGCTGGAAGTCTTTCTGAAGTATACTTATGTAGCAAACCGACGCAGGCAAAGTTAGGAATTGGATGTAATACATGTTTCTTAAAAGTTCATGTTTTGGCCTTCATGGCTGTCCACATTCTACCGTTGCAAGTACTGCTCATCATTTTTTAAAGCACAAGAAGAACAGATATCCATTTTCCCCAGAGAGTGGAAAACGGCAGCACCATTTGTCTTCGCCTGTCGATTCCTCTTTGGGATTTCTCGAAGCAAATACCTAGTTAGCTAGGTTTTTCTAATCCGTGTTCTAACCATAGTCCGAGATTTGGCGGTAAAGGTGTTTGTAATACAATTATGTATGTCTTCTACATTTACTGCTAATACATTTTTGAACACCGAAAGAACAGATATCATGTTTTCACCGACCAGTGTAGAAGACACAGGCGCCACTTTTGCTTCCGAAACCTTAGCCCATATTTATTTTGCTCTCTGGGATTGCTAGAAGCAAACACATAGAGAACTACCGGATTATATTAGAGACACTTTCCTCATCTCGGATCACAGGTAAAAGAAAAACCTAGGCATTTTCAGGAACAATATTAACAGGCCTACATACTTTACATATAATTTTTTTTTTTAAATTTAAAATGCATTCCTCTCTTCGATCGCTGGGAGCAGAACCAGTTCCACTTCAGAATCATAGGAAATGCAGGGGTCAGGGGAAGAATTAAACCATTTCTCTTTAAGAAGTAATGCTGGTAAATGTTGGAGAACCGCTAAACACATGGAACGAAGGTTACCCGCATTTGACAAAAATGCCTGAGGAAATTCAATGAAAATTAAATTAGAGGAATTCAAACTGAGCGAAGAAATGAGAAGCCAGTTGACTGAGCAACAAAAGGACGTCAAAGAGAAACCCGAGGGGGGGGGGATGTTGATGAGAGAGACCAAGGGTGCTAGATTGGATTTCATTCATGAATTGTATCTGACACCATAGTGTCATCAGGCCTTCAGACTTGAGAAAATCAACAGACTTGAGAAAATCAATGTATCTTGTTTTTTTTTAACTCCTTTCTAAGTATATTTAAAAGTGTTGATTTATTGCTATGATCAGATTTGTTTCAGTTATCTTTCAAAATTGTGATATGTATAAAAGCCATTGAAAGACAATCAATTTATCATGATCATTGGTATTCATTAGGTTTCAGTCCGTATCCTTGCTTTCAAGTATCAATCACAGTCTCAGCCATAATTCAATGTTTCAGTGATTATTGTTTCAGTAATTATACTGTCGTGGTATTGGACGTCGCAGGTCGACTCAGCCTACAATGGGTACCAGGATAGGCTGTCCTGGGAAAGTAAAGACAGCCGGCGTAATGCTGACCACATTACCCACAGAGTGCTGATGGTCTGTAAAAATATTCGACTCTCTGCCCATATGCCCGATGCGCCGAAAGGGGTGAAAAGGGATCTTTACTTTTTTTTTTAACTTAATTATACGGTGAGAGATGTTTCAGAATGATCTTGCGGTACTTTCTCTGCAGGCTGTATGGGCTCTAGGAAACATCGCCGGTGACAGCTCAGAATACAGAGACTACCTGCTAGAAGCTGGCGTCCTCCCTCCATTGTTGCGGTAAGATCTGGCATTTTCTGTGGCTAATGTTTAGCGCAGTGTTTATTCTGAATCGTTCCTGGCATCCCATGTACTGTTTGTGGAAGATCTTGAAGATCTTTTAACTAGCAGATCTTGCTAGTCACAATAGCAGTCACCACGGGCTATGAATGCCGTCCCCAACCCCGTTTTGTAGAACAAGTCAAATACATTTACAAAGGGGCTTTGTATTGTTTATACAACAGATCAACATCATAGCACAAGGGGGAATAACCCATAAGTGATCTGTTCTACTTCTAACTCAAGCCTGAGTCCGAAGAATTTCATCGCAGTGCATGAGCTCCGTAGCGCCGTCGAGGATCCTGAAATACTTTGGGTAGATTTTTAACTACAGCGCCGTTAGGCTACTGTTTTCGATTTCCAACTGCCAAAGGATTTTGTTTACGTCTGCGGCAACACACACGGGCGTCCGGTCTTACTACCCAGAGACCACGGAAAATTACTAGAAGTCAACGTGAACTCAAAATCCCCAGCCTTCACCGGAGATCGAACCCGGGACCTACAGCATTCTGGAAGGACGGCAGATTGCCCCCCGGGGCTTTGTGTAAAAACCTTCAGAGTGTGATAGAAATTACAGTAACCACGCCATTGTCTTGTAATGTGTGAGATTTGTTAAGGATGTTAAAAGTGTTTAGCAGACAAAGACGCTGACTTCGTAAAAACAGTTTAAAGATGGTCGCTACATTTTCAACATGCACCAAAGGGGTGCAGCTTTCTGTTTTCTGAATGTTGTTTTTATTTTTTTAAATCAGTGAAGGGATGGTTTCACACCTGTAGAAAATAATCGGGAATGAAGGTCCGGTATGTTGATGCATGCCTGTCAGTCTAGTAAGTGTTTAAGTTGGTTAGCAAGTTTTAAAACAGGCGTGACTCGGGCGTGCCTGACCAGGTCGTGAACAGTCTCTAACAGAAGTCACGTCGGCTGGAAATGTCTACTCCACTAATGCACAAGCTGGCGTGACAGGCATTATCAACAATAACTAATCTCTTTCCAAAATCGCCTGCAGCTTTTGAATCCTTGAATGTCAAAAGTAAGAAACAAAATTCATAACCATTAGACCGTTGGAGGAAGAAAAAGAAATTAAAATGTCACAAAATGTAAATGTGTGCTCCCTTACCGTGAAATTGTCGACATTCCCACAGACTGTTGTGTCGATGTGCAAGTTTAACTATAACGAGAAATGCAGTCTGGTGTTTGTCGAATCTATGCAGAGGCAAGAATCCCCCGCCTGATTTCACTAAGGTGATGTGAAACTTAAATGATACAGGTTTATATATATATATATATATATATATATATATATATATATATATATATATATATATATATATATATATATATATATATATATATATATAAACAAATTGCTAGTTAAGCTGTGTGAAACTGAAATGGTCTTGGTTGCTTTTAAAACTAGATGTTAACTAAGCTTTTGTGAAACCGAAATTAATTTGGCTATTTATTAAGCAAACTCCTTTACATTTTGATGTTTACATCGTTATTAAGATGCTGGAAACTCTGAGACCATTATACCTTTTAAACTGTATTATGCCTAGTGTGTCTTCTAACCTCTTTATCTGATGTCTTCTTCTGCCAATGCCCATCATCACTTGTGAATCATCATCAGTCAGCATGTCCTTTACAGAACGTCGCTTTCTTCGCGGCACGCCTGAAGGAATCCCTTTCCCTAGCCAGCTGTCCGGCCCCATGCGCTTTCAGTGCCAGTGCATCTTCATTGTCCTGTATCCATCTTCGCGGCAAGCCTGAAGGAATCCCTTTCCCTAGCCAACTGTTCAGCCCCAAAAGCTGTCAGTGCCAATGAATCTTCATTGTCCTGTATCCATCTTCGCGGTGGTCGACCCCTGCCTCACTTCCCACAGACTGTACCCTCCATCACCGTCTTGTCCAAGCCACCATGTGGCCAAAATACTTCATCTTTCGGGACAGGACGCTGTTTATGAGCCAGTTCTCCTTTATGTTTACCTCGCTTAGAATGTCGATGTTCACTTGTGAATGCATATAATAATTCCTTAGCATCTATGTAAACAAAAAGTGCAAAAAAAAAACAAACACAAAAAAAAAACCAGTCAAACAATGCTTATTATTCAAAATGTGTCAAGCAAACAACTTGTAAAGAGCCAAGTCCTTCAGGGTCATATGGTTATAAACTTTCTCAAATTGCTATATGGTAGAACTCGCATTCTACGAGTAGAACATCACCCTGGATTCCTGGTCACAGTTACTTCACGTGAAATGTAAGGGCAGACAAACGTGTTGATGAACCTCCAGGGTGGATTAGCTAGAAGCTTGTCTGCGGATCCGAAGGTCGTATGTTCAAATCAGCTATCACATGAGTAAAAATCTTTTACGTTAAACGATGATGAATATATAAATATATGATTACAGTTATTATTCTGACCCACCACCATCATAGTCGGAAAACATGGCGTGTCGTTGAGTCAGCTGCTGTTGACTGTCTGATCAGGTCCCCTCTACGTCTGTCAGTCCGATGCAGTAGACTTGAATCATGTGTTTGAAACCTGTCCGTTTAGCCACATTCAGTTTCCAGGTAGTGTATCCTCTACATCTTCTCCTGTGGCGAGCACTGTAGTATCGCTTTGGAGAGATCAGTGATTAGTGAAGGTATCATCACAGCACTCTGGACAGATCCATGGTTGGGGAGAGGTGGGGGGGGGGGGGGGTTGTTCCGATCTCCTCCTCAAAAGCTCAACAAGTGTAAAACGACTGATGACGCATATTCTTTGTTCATCAATGAAACATCTTGCCCCTTGGTTAAATGTTAATTTCTTGAAGCTCCAGGCTGCAATCCCATGTCCATTCGCCTATACAGGGATACGGAATCGTGCCCTTTTGCGTGCTGGTCGCCACGGTAAGTCCTGCACATAGCATTGATAACATCGCTTCTGTCCAAGAGAATGATCGGTGCAAGTCCAACGCTTCTGTCCAAGAGAAAGATCGGTGCAAGTCCAACTTTAAGAGCCGTTGAGAGAATTACAGAAGACAGTTATGTTCATACTAGAGACAACATTGCAGTTTTAAATAATTTATTTCAAACGAACGAAAGAAGAAGAAGAAGCTTCTGTCCAGTAATAGACCAGCCATAGCAATCGCAGTGTCTGCATGATAATCTGCGCGGTCGTTCCCTTGAACACCCACATACCTTGGTACAAAGATGAAGGTTGGTAAAGTGCATTCTTGTCTGATGAAACCAACCTTCATTTTTTAAAGCATATTCATTAAGTCAATTAATAGGCACATATGTGTAAACTCTTGTGTACCAAGCCAAGCTAATGCCCTTGTTACAGTCATAGTTTCCATTGTGAGGCTACTAGTTGTAACAGCAAAGACACCATTCATCTCCTTAATGGTTTTTTCCTTAAGCTTACTGTGAATGTCCATGCTGTCCGATCTCGCTGATCGTATTTCCATGCACTTCGCTTGCCCCGTATTACTGATCCGTCTGTGTAAACAATAGAGATGAGTACATCTTGTTCCAGACTTGCTACTATCTGTTGGTACCTGTCGTGTGTACTGTGCTCTATTGTTTTACATTATGCTTTTTTTTTTAATTTGATTATTGTGTATTCGTCTGGTTTTGTTTAATTTATGTATGTGCTGATGAAGGCTTTGTAGCCGCAACGTTAACTTTTCGATTGTGCTTGTTATATTGTGAAGACAACTGATCTACTTTTCGTTCGGTTTTATATCTTTCCGTCTTGTCACATGTTCTTCGCGTCAGCCTCTTCTGACTACCATAATGAATATGTCAAGGTACAATTGCCTGACAGGTTAGACTGGCTCTGCCAGTTCTGTCGCGACTACTGTATCACTCAGACAAGGATGTGCTGGCAGACACATGCTGGGCGCTGTCCTACCTGTCCGATGGCTGCAATGAAAACATACAGGCTGTGATCAACAGTGGCGTTTGTCGTAAGCTGGTGGAACTGCTCATGTAAGTCTGCTTGAAATTCAGCTTCGTCACATCCCTGTCCAGGAATACATTATAATGGACATAAAACAATCGACACTATGACTTTTAATAAACGTGTCGTAAAAGGTGAATAATTAAGGTTTTGTTCTTCTTCTTCTTCTTCTTCGCGTTCACTGGCTGTAAACTCCGGTGGAAAGTTCTGGTTGTTCGGTCACTTCTGGACTGCAGTCCTGTTCCAGAACCTGAGTGTTGCGTGTGCATCAGTTTGACAGATCTGTATGCAGGCTGTTGGTTCCTTGCCTCTCAGGCAGATGCACTCCGACTTCAAAGGAAGCTCCCAATTAGTCGACTCTTACGACATGCTTTTGGGTAGGCAGTGGGCCTATTCTTGTTTTTCCCATAGTAGGGCTCCGGAACCCACACGGGGAAAGGTTTTGTTGAAATCAGATGTGTTGCGCCCAAAGGTATAGATATCGCAGTCTTGCTGTAAACTAAAAATGCAAAGTAACAGTCGCCCTTTCAAGTGCCAAAGCAGAAAATAAAGCTTAATCATTGAATAACAAATTTAGGCTTTCGAACTTAAATGTTATAGCATTATTCTAAGAGTATAAAAGATCAAGAGAAGGGAAAATATTGACAATGGAGGGCTTTGTACACAAACAGAAGCTGCTCAACAACACTTAGGGCTCCAGATCATCTATCTTCTTCTTCTTCTTTCTCTTCGCCTCCTTTTTTCTTGTTTTTAGCGCTTAGGGTGTCGAGGGAGATTAAGATTCAACTTCTTGCTCTACTGGCTGCCTCGACCATAGACACATGATGCTGTTGTAGAGTGTCTCTGATGTTATCTTTCCATCTTGTTGTTTTTGGTCTACATTGTGCTCTACGCCTTTCTCCTTTTGTTGTTGTTGTATACTTGTATGGTGTGACTTGACTTATATGGTGTGACTTGTATGGTGTAATTTGTATGGTATGACGTCGCAAGACATTTTACGCCGGGAAACCACTTGATTTGATGTCTTTGTGTGTAATTTAGAATTAGTTGTGTTTTAACTTTTTTCTCTTGAAACCTAATTCCTGATTATATTCCTTTTGGTCACCCCTGCAGCCTTTCTCATGCATCTCGTTTATATAGTTACTAATTTTCGTTTGGGATTTGTTGTGAGTGAACATGTCTGGCACTGGTAATATAGAGTGGGAATGAACATCCTTTCTATAAAATGTTTCTTTTGCTGTTTGGGATTGCCTTTTGCGGTAAGAAACAAAAGAGAGCGGGGGGGGGGGGGGGGGGGGGGGGGGGGGGGGAGGTGCCCGATGGTTAGCTGTCGCAGTACTTTTGCCATTTTCCCATAGTTAGCACGGGATATATTACATCAAACCTCCATTGTGGATTCAGATCAATGGTTCTTTTTTTTTACATTAAAAATGTTTTAATAAGAAAGGATTATCAACTGTGGGCTGGTTTTTTTTTTTTTTAAATAAAGGACCATTGGAAACAAAAACACTTAAGGTTAGAGAAATGTCAGAAAATTACAGCCTAACTACAGTCGCTCTAAATTAGCCACTTCTACAATAAAAAGGTATGTCTACATGGGATTTGACTGATACAAGTAATCAGGTAGATTCTTAGGAACAGAACGCTATGGAACTCTTGTGTGTGTGTATGTGTGTGTGTGTGTATGTGTGCGTGTGCTAAAAGAGGTGTGGGGGGGGGGGGGTTAAGTAGGGGTCAAGGAAAAGATAACTGCAAATAGGTTCAGACCTGAGAGCCTGAGAAGAAGCACATTATATACATGCTCCTTGTGTGGGTTCTGGGACCCAATGTTGGGAAGACAAGAAAAGACTACTGCCTTCCTAGCAAGTATGTCGTAGGAGTCGACTAATGGTGGGGGAGGGGTGGCTTCCTTCGAAGTCTGAGCGAAGGAACCAAGAGTCTGCTAACAAATAAGCCAGATCCGTGAAATGGATGTGTATACAACACTCAGGTTCTGGAGCAAGACTAAAGTCCGGAGGTGGTCGAACGCCCAGAACTTGCCCCCAGAGTTTACAGTGAGCGAACGCCAAGGAGAAAAAGAAATATATGCAATCGCAGCAATTGCCCCGAAAACCCACGGTCTAATTGTGGAACACTTTTCCTACCCCCGGAGGGATGTGATTCCCTTGCTTCCATGTTGTATAACACTGGTCTGGAAAGAAAGACAGTTAATAACGTTGTTTCCAAATGAAACATTCAGTGTTGACTAGCGGTGAGTCATATCTCAAAACAGGCACAAACAACACGCTGTTGCCGCTGCTGCTCTGCGAGTCATCGGAAATATTGTCACTGGCGATGATTATCAAACTCAGGTAAGTTTGAATTAGGGGCCTCAGGAATCTAGAGGCTCAGTCACAATAAGGCCCCCCACCTTGCCGCAGGTACAGGAGCTGGGCCCTGTAATTGTAGGTATATGCAAAGACGCCCACACCCGCTTAAATCCCCTTGTCTCACTAGACCATTAGCTCTCAACCTTCCTACTGCCGCGACCCTTTAATAAAGTTCCCTCATGTTGGGGCGACCCCAAACAATTATTTTTCTTCATGTAAAAAATATGTAAAGGACTCTTTCCGACGCATTTAGGCGTATAGGGCTAGACCTATATTTCTATAGACCAATCAGCACAAGATGGGTGATGTGGTCAGCATCACGCCGACCGCCTCTACTTCCCGGGTCTGCACCCGGTACCCACTCAAGGCTGGGTCGACCTGGGAGTCAAGGTCATTTCTGAAAAAAAAAGTCCGGCTCCACCGGGGAGCGCACCCACAACCTTCTGATCCGCGGCGAGCGTCTAGCCGCACCACCACGCCGACTCATTTTTTTGCTTCATGACTTTAATGAATATGTGTTCTCCGACGGTCTTAGGCGACCTATGGGAAAGAGTCATTCGACCCACACAAAAAAGGGCCGCGACGGGCAGGTTGAGAACTGCTGGCCTAGACAATTTAAAAGGAGGCTGAGTGGTTCCTGCGACCCGGTAACGCTCTTTTTTTTCTTATTTAATATATATATATATATATATATATATATATATATATATATATATATATATATATATATATATATCATATTATTTGAAACTTGGGTACTAGGTAAAGTCATGGGAAGTAAAAGCGGTCATCGTGATGCTGACCAACTCCAGATCAAGTGCCTCTGGACTATAAAATATAGGCCTAGCCCTATATGCCCAATCGCGTAAAAAAGGGCCCTTTACCTTAAGAAAAATTCAACTATTTTATGTTTATTTGTCATTAACATATAATGGTGATGATAAAAATAACACGAATAAACATAAATAAACAGAGGGGGAACCCTTAAGGCCGTATACGTATATTAAATGTACTAAACAGTCGGCTCTGTGGCTAAGTCGATGCGAACGTTTCGTAATGCCGGGATGCCGGGTTCGATCCCAGCTGCGGGCCATGCGTCTTGCGTTGGTTTTGACAGTGGTATCAAGAAAGCTGACCGTCCAGAAACCAGTGACAAACTACTGGACGTAAATTTGCCTAGAAAAACCACACAACAGCTAAGGGCTGTTGGGGTTGGTTCTGCAACGGCCTGTAAAGGATACGCAACTAACAATGTATCGATTGGCACTTATAGAAAGACAGAAAAACACACTAGACAATAAAAATCGAAAGCTATAGTTACCCTGCTGGAAATCAAGCTTGTCACCTTGACATAGTGTTAAATGTGTTTTCCTGTGTAATTGTTATTCCGCATCAGGTGGTTATCAACGCCTCTGCCCTGCCATGTTTGCTGCAATTGCTGGGCAGCTGTAAAGAATCTATCCGTAAGGAGGCGTGCTGGACTCTGTCAAACATCACTGCTGGGAATCCATACCAAATTCAGGTAACTGGGAGTAATGGATAACAGGGAGAATCCTCAAGATTATCATAAAACATGAAGAATGAATGCGTTAATAAATAAGTTAATTAATTAATTGACATCACTGCAAGCAAGGAACCCAAGTCATTTTGACATCACTAGAATCTATTATTTCACGACACCAGGAAAAAAAAAAGTGAAATGCGGGTACAGTTCAAAGGGACATAACAGAAAAACCAATGAACTGGATCCTCGGATTGATGTACCTTGAATCCGATGGTCTCATTGCACGAGAACTTTCCTGGCCATCATCAACCTTATCAGTCAACCCACTCTACTTAGTTGATTATATTCTGCTTGTTTGCTCACCGGCTGTGAGCTCTGGCGGAAAGTCCTGGTTGTTCGTTTATTTGAACTTTAGCTTTTTCCATGACCCGAGTTTTGCGTTTTACTGGCTTATTTGTGTGTAGTTGATTGCCAATGCAAATGTGTGTGTGAATGTATGCGTGTTTAAGTTGTGTAGGCGCGTGTAGTGGGTATGTGTGTGTGTGTGCGTGCGCTTGAGTGTGCATACACTCACACCCATGCTTTTTTTTTTTGGGGGGGGGGGGTGTTCCTTGATAATCACAGTATGCATATTATTATTTGAATATAACATGCTTTATAGATGAAATACAACTTCTGTATAAAAGACGGGTGTTTAGAAGGGCCGAATGTAAGACGCGCTTGCGTGCCCATTTTGTGACCCTTTGAAAATAAAGTTCGTTCGTTCGGTTAAGATTTGACAAATTAGGGGTTTCCTTCGGAGTGCATCTGCCTGAGCGGCTATGTTTCAACAGTCTGTGTACAAATAAGCTAGATCTGTAAAACGGATGTGCACGCAGAAGTCACGGTCTGGAACAAAACTTAAGTCCCAAAGTGGTCGGACTACTAGAACTTTCCGGCGAAGTTTACAGCCGGTAAACGCAAAGAAGTAAAAGTTATCAAATCTCAATTCACTAAAGGAACGTTTATCTTTCCTTCTTTTTAAACTGCAGAATGTAATAGATGCCAACATAATTCCCGCCTTGGTTAACGTTCTGGAAAAGTCTGAATTTAACACCAGGAAGGAAGCGGCCTGGGCCATAACTAATGCAACATCTGGAGGTCTCCCAGACCAGATCAGGTCAGCAGTACCGCCACAAACAAATCGGTTTTTTTGGGAGAAAAAAAAAAGGGGGGGGGTGTGGGGGGAGTGTTTAAATGTGCAAAAATACGTTGTATTATTATTCTCATGACTTGCAAATCAGTATAACTGAAATATGGTGGTACCTCGGTATACGTCCGCTTTCTAAAAAGTCCAACTTGGTCTACGTTCTGTTAAAACACAACAGATTTTGCTTCGTATAAGACTTTTGTTTGGAATATGACTTGCGTACTAGAATTTCTATGAGTCAAAAAGAGTCGCAACACAGCGCGCTACCCTCGTCGAAGCTAGTGAGCCTTAACTAAGTCCAAGTAGGGAAAAGAGAAGAAGAAGAAGAAGAAGAAATACCATAATTTCATTTTTCTTAAGTTTTGTTTTGGGTGCTTTATTAACCTCCTTCCCCAAATAGGGATATCCACAGGTCACAGGACTGTCTTAATATTTCAGGGGGTGGTAGAGAGGCTGCATGCAATTGTTGGACCTAGGCTGCACTTTCTCGTGGGACATAGATAGGTTGGAGATAGGGCCAGTTCTAGATTTTTGGGGTCGTTAAAAGCATCAGAAAGCCGGGAAACCCAGTCTTACCACCCTCTAAAATGTCGGACTGTCCTGTGACGTCATTGGGGGAGGGAGGGGGGGGGGGGGGGGGGGGGGGGGGGTGGGGGGGGGGGGGGGGGGGGGAGGGGGGGGTGGGGGGGGGGGGGGGGGGGGGGGGGGGGGGGGGTATAGGGAGGGGGGGGGGTATTAATAATTAGGAATCTTTTTTTTTAAATTTTGGAATATTACTCCCCTTCCAACTTCTCTTCTTCCTCTTTCTCAGCACCGCTCAAGTAGGCACTTTGCTTTTCTCAGCAAGGGAAAGTTAGGTTAAATTGTCATATATATATTACGGAATTGCTTTTGTATTATATGTTTTAATATTAAGCAGTGTTTAAAAGTTGTCACACAAACAGTCCGACATTAGAAATGCAGTTCATCATTGACGGAAGAAGCAGTTGCACGCACGATCAATTGTAATCATACAAGGCACTACAAATTATGTGGCAACAGGCCACGAGCCATTTTCTGAATCTACACGTGACAACATCACGCCGGTCACAGTCGAAACACATTTCAAAAGAAATCTGCAGCTCACAGTACCGCGAAATGCACTTAAATAAGTAGCCGGGTGACAAAGCTATATCTGTTCAGCCTAGAAATGGTGGAAAATAAACAGCCACAGAAGCAGACAATTTGCCACAACTAAAATCATGCCTATTCTCCATTTTGACCAGGAAGTACATTATGTGTTCATATATGAGAAGGAGGAAACTGGAGGGGAAAGTTGGAGGAGAAAAGGGGGAGCAGAAGACCATGCGAGAAGATGGTGCACAGTCTGACATCATGACATGGAAGATCAATCATCAATGTCAGAACTGATTGAAAGTACATGAAGCAGAAGGTTGTGGACTACTAACGCCACAAGGCATGGACAAGAAGATGGAAAAAGAAAAAAGGTGCCTACTGGTTAGAATCATTGAAATATATGGCAGAAAAGAAGATCCTCAAAAGCTTATTATCATGATGTGGAAAATAGTGAGTACACTAGTGTTGGATGCCGAGATACTTTCAGGTATGATCACCCTTGGCAGTAGCCACAGCATTACGAACATATTGACTTAACATATGATTTGATGACAACATTTCATGAGTTGCTGCTACATAATGAGTCATCAGTTGTTTCAGCACTGGTTATCTCCTCCTATTCCAACAACAGATACCTGGTGAACCAGAACTGTGTCCCTCACTTGTGTGACCTGCTGACTGTGATGGACAGCAAGATTGTGCAGGTAGCTCTAAATGGTCTGGAAAACATCCTCAAAGTAGGAGAGTCCGATGTCAAGTCCGGCGGTGGGGACAACGTGTATGCGTTTATCATCGAGGAATGCGGTGGTAAGATGTCTGTTTAACTGACGATTCGTTGTCTGATACGAATGCAACTTCTGGCTGATAATTACATTTCTGATTGACCCAGCCTTGAGTGGGTACCTGATGAAGTCCTAGGAAATGAAGGTTGACCACATCACCCACCAAGTGCCGATTGGTCTAAAAAAAAGAATTTTAGCTAGCGAATGCGACTCATTTAGAAGAAAACCCTATTCCACGTTATGATCACGCTGTGCAAATCCAATACAATTAATAACATGTATAGCTGAAATTTTCTCCACCCACTGGAATATTGCAGTTAACCCCTTAACCCCCATTCTTAGTTTGGGTGTGGCATGCCATGCTCTCTAAGTCACCGTTCACCCCCCCCCCCCCCCCCCCCCCCCCCCCGTGAATTTGCACTGTAGCCTCATCGAATCTTACCGCTCCTGGCCACTGACCCATCAGTGTATACAATCACATTCCCTAGGTTAGAAGTGTGTTCTACTGGCTGTTCAGACGTTGCATCTGCTCGTCCTGCTGCTTGTTCACAGCAATCCCCTACCAGGGTGATTCCCACCGAATGCCGCTGTTCTCCTGTATTTTTACCCATTCCTCTGATCGGTTAATCTTTTTAATGTTGCAAACACTGTTGTATTTTCAGCCTGGGCCATCCAGTATCTGCCCCTTCTGAGTCTGCCAACCTTCACAGTGCCTGATACCATATGAAGGATATGCTCTGTATCATTTGCAACCCTAAAATAGTACCCAGCTTGCAGTATTCTATGTCTAACAGCTATATAGGCATAGCCCTGGTTGTCTTATACACACAACCGGTGTGTCCCTCATGTATCCCACAATAGTTTGCATAGGCTCATTCTGTAAGCATTCCATATTCTCAAATAGTTCGTGGCATAGTTAGCATTCCCAGGCCATATTTAATGACTGACATAAGACACAAACTGTGAACAATATCCCATGTTCTACACCCGCAGGGGCAATAACATTCAGTGCAATAAGGCAGGCCTCTTTCCTCCCAAGATCACTGCATCGATGTGATCCTTCAAAGAGAGATCTCTACTGAACTCCGAGATACTTTACTGTCCATGCCGTCGAATGCGCGGATTTAAAGGAAGATGATTTAAGTTGCTCCAGTGTGCAGCTTAATGTAACATGTGTAAGGTATCCCATTTGCAGAGTTCCTATGTCTTCTTTGTTACAGGTCTGGATAAAATAGAAATGTTGCAAAGCCATGAAAACAATGAGATATACAAGCAAGCATATGGCATCATCGAGCATTACTTCGGTACCGAGGATGATCGAGACCAAATTACGGCAGCCCAGATTAGCCAGGTGCCCCATCAATACCAATTTGGCAGTTTAAATGGTGCTTCGTTTGAAAATTTCAAATTCTGATTCTCAACCAGGCAATAATCATAGACAGCATATGCCAGGTCTTTTTTTTTTTTTTTAGATGCCTTTTCGTTTTTATTTCATTTTAGATTAAAATTTATTAATTTTACGAAATTATAACTAAAGCTCGATGTTTACAATGAATCTTGTGATATTACCATGTGCTATAACTATAAATGTTGTTGAACGTGGTTTGCCACCTTACACTTATACGCGACATAAAAGTATCTCAGATGAGATCGGTGTTTTAATTCTGTGAAACTTGAAGGGCAGAGCAGAACATTCGTCTTATTCACTTCATGGCACAGTATGTTGGCTGCGGCGGATGTTTGGTCAATAGTTATTACCCTATTCCTCGGTGTGTTTTTCCCAGTTGGTGGTCTACAGAACAATTTTAATAGGATTTTAGATATCACCCATCTCCATCCAATTTTAGAATGTAAACATTGTTTAGAAAGCAATGGCAAACTACTGGACGTACATTTGCCTAGAGAAACCACACAACAGCCAGGGGCTGCTGGGGTTGGTTCTGCAAGGTCCTGTAAAGGATATGCAACTAACTAACCTTTAATCATTGTTTCTTCTTCTCAAAGTTTGGCACTGTTAGCCATGTCTATCCATAACCTTCTGTCTTGTGTACTTTTAATCCAATCTGGCACAGATGATCTTCCATGCCATGATGTCACACTGTCCAGGATCTTCTCTCTTGATCTATCTCCCTCTACAACTTTTCCCTTTCAGCTTTCCCACCGTCACAATTTACAGCTTCCTCCTTTTCATGAGCACTTCCCTCCCACTCCCCTTTTTTTTTAATGCAATAATTTTTTTTTCTTAGTCCATGCCATGTGGTGTTGGTAGTCATGTTTATCCACAAACTTCTGTCTCGTGTGCCCTGACACAGATGGTAGTCCATGCCATGATATCAGACTGCTCAACATATTTTCTCTCGGTCCCTCTCTGCCTCCCACCATCAAAGTGCACTCAAGTTCTTTTTTTTCCTTTTCAGGACATCATTAAAAAAAATGTAGGTTGACTCCACCTGATGTTGGCTTTCTCCGTGAGTCAATTTTTTTCCAGACGTCTTCCTTACTCTGTTTTATCTGTCCAGGTTGCTCTAATTTGTCTATAAAACCATATCTCCATCACTTCCACATGTTCCACTAACTTGCCAACTAACTGTCCAATGTTTTTAGTAATTCTGATATTTATAAATTATAATGTTCTTCAGTATGACGATTAAAAAGTACGGGGTCCAGATCTTTGAATAAAAGGAGAAGAGTTCACAAGCCTGTGCTAACTGGGATTTCAGTGCCCTATGTTTTCATTTCACTAACTTGACTAAGTGAATCCCTTTAGGGCGCACTATCTCTGCCTGGTGAGATTCTATAGAATTACATTCAGCTTTCTTCTTCTTCATAAAGTGGGCTGTGTTGCATTATTTCATTAAAACCAGTGGGTTGTGTTGCACTATTTCATTTAAACCAGAGGGCTGTGTTGCATTATAACATTAAAACCAGTGGGTTGTATTTCATCAAACCTTTGGCTCAATATATCAAATTTTGGCTATCCTCCGAGGAACGGTCGGTAAAGATGGCGGCCGAAAGATATCCTTTCCAGCCAGTCTCGTGACTTAATTTGCGGTTCTCTGGCAGCTTTCCGGCGACTACCGCCACTGCCACGTGTCTCCCATGCCGCTCACGCGGCGTGGAATGGGGCTAAACTTGTGTCATGTGACTGTGGCTCGAAAGGATATTTTGCGGCCGCCATCTTTACTGACTGTTAGTCGAAGAATAGCCCAAATTTTTAACTAGCATTACTGGGGTTTGCTTTGCCTAGTCTTTCGCTGAGCTCAGCCTCCTTACAAAAGAGCTGGTTTGAGACCTTATCTATCCTAACCAGTGACCTGTCCAACACGGGAGATCCTACCAGTATCCCTCACGGGGTCATTGGAAAACACAAGTCCCTCTGCCATGTCCACCAGGAGACAGTCCCATTAGATGGGAGAGGAATGTGAAAAGGGCCTGTCTGCCCCACTATTTAAAAATATGCTTTATTTGTTCTTTAAACTATTTTAAAGAATCCATGAAGTCTTTTAGAATTTTAACTTGCACCATCTATTTTTTAAAAAAAAACAATGTGAAAAATCATATTTTGATACTCCATTGTAATTCAGTTTGGATATACATACTGCTTATTATTTCACTTAGTGACTTTTTCATCGATTCATATGTTCTTCACTTATTTAGAAATAATGATGTGCTTTCTATTTCACAGATGATAATTTAATAGTTTCTCAGCAATATTTCAATGCTAGGAGGTAACCTAGCATGTTTTACTGTGTGTGTATGTGAAAGTCACATGTAAGTTTGTATCTGTTTACAAATATGCCATTATTTTATCAATACATTGTGTATGCCTTGTGATATCTGTGTTACGTTAAAATTGTTAGTACATTTAACTGTTACCTAAAGGTCCTTCAAAACAAGCGGGATGCAGACACCACTGGTGCTCATTTAATATTTATAGGTACATCATTCATGTGAAATAGAAAAGCAGAATTTTGGTACAAACTTTTCTTGCTGGACATGAGAGACTGGAGCCAATGGTTCTATGGAAATGGAGTTGCAAGAAATTCAAGTTGGAGTTTGGGATATGGAGAGTTGTGACCATGTTTCAGAAGAAGAACACACAAGTGTATCTGAATAGATGTCACATTTAGTAAATGAATAGATGTAGACTCTAGTATTTGAAACAAAACAACAAAATAAGACGACTGGAAGCCTTCCCCCCCCCCCCCCCCCCCCCCCCCCCCCACTGTGAAGCAAAAATTAATATAAGAGACTCCATCTTATTTTGAGGGAAACACAGTACATATTTACACCAATATACAATTTAAAGACACTCCCAATTAAACATACTCAGGCAAATCTGTTTTTTTTTTTAAATAAGATAAATTGTAATCATCATCTTTTCTTGCCTAATAAAGCTAAAACAGCTTCTTCATCTTTTTCAATGGCATCTGCTTCAACACTGTCATCCTCCTCTACCATCTCACTATCATCATCTTCATCATCATCAGACCCTACGACCTCTTCATCTGCAGAAGTATTTTCATTATCGGTCTCTTCATCCTCAGATTTGCCTTCTGAAGCTGCATCAGAATCTCTGCTCATCTTCTGTTTCTTTGATCTGGGTCTGGAAATTTAAAAAACAAAAAAATCAAAGTCAGAAACCTCTAAAAACATACAATTCCTAAACATCTCAAATACAAACACAATTCATAATGTTAATATAACTCCCAAAACCAAAATATTCTATAATAGTAATATTAAGCTTCTCAAATTGAATAAACGCACACTATAATATTAACAAGTCGGCTCTGTGGCTAAGTCGATGCGAACGCTTCGTAATGCCAGGATGCCGGGTTCGATCACAGATGCGGGCCATGCGCCTTGCATTGGTTTCGACAGTGGTATCAAGAAAGCTGACCGTCCAGAAAGCAATGGCAAACTACTGGACGTAAATTTGCCTAGAAAAACTACACTGTAGGGGTTGGTTCTGCAACGTCCTGTAAAGGATACGCAACTAACCTAATAATATTAACATCAAATCTCCTTAAATAAACACTTACTGTAATGTTAACTTTCAACCTTTCAAAAAATACTTACAACACAATTATATTTAACCCCCTAAAATTAATTAAAATTAACGATAGGGCCTCTTCAAACAAACACAGCCCGTAATGTTAACATTAAATATGTAACTAATAGACTACAAACATAGTGTGTGCGCAGAATAGAGGAAATTATTTGGTATGAAAAAAATCCCTTATGCTGAGCTTTGTGAGAGAGCTAAAAAAGTTCCAGTGGACCAAGAGATGAATAAAAGACATGCTGTGAAAATCTGAGAACAATATAACTAGAATGTCTGTGCACTGGAACCTACAAGGCACAGAAATAAAGGCAGAGCAACAAAAACAAAAAAACACATGGAAAAGGAAGCTACAGAGTAAAGTTAAAAGGATGGGGCGGACATGAGGTGAGTGCGTGTAACAGCGAGGGATAGAACTTGGTATGAGTTGGTTTAGGGTCTATGCGCCACTGGAAGCTAGAAGGCAGAAGTAGAAGAAGATGTAAGTGTGGCTCATCAGGCATATGAAGCTAGTCCAATTTTTACTGACCAATCAAAGATGTGGTCAATATCATTATTTCCAAGGGATTTTACCTGGTACCCATTTCAGGCAAGGTTAAATCTTTGAGTCCCAAGGAACGCATCAGACGTTCATAGATTCCTGCCTAGAAGCCCAATGAACGCATGATGCGCTGATTTTACGCCTATTTCAACTATCCCTTGGGCCTGTGATGCTCAACTCTCTGGGACTCAAAGAGTTAAGAGTAAACATCGGCCCCTAATAGCTCCCAGCAATGTTTGCATTTAATGACCCAAAATAAACACATCATTGATGTAATTATAGATTTCCACGCTTTATTTCTGTATCATTTCTGTGGTTTCCAGTGCAAGAACATTTTGGTTACATTACTTAAAGGTTTTTTCACAAATGGGGTGTCTCCTTGGCGAAGTGGTCAAGCCATTTGCCTCACACTCTGAAGGTCACGGGTTCGTTTCACAGTGGCCCTGTTCAGTTCACAAATGCAATATTTATAGAGATCCCTTGGGGTCGCCGCCAGAGCTACGGAGTTTGTGCTCTGTGCAATGCTCTCCGCAGGCAAACAGATGTTCTGCGGAGAGAGAGAGAGACTGAGCAATATGGGATAAAACCCCTGCACTGAAGTTGATCCTCTCGTTTTCTCAATGTGTGTTTTATTCAGTGTTGGTTTTTTTTTCCTGATTTGCTGTAATGAGCTTTATCCTCTCCGACAGTTCTACATTAGTGACTCTAAGGCATCGATTACCTCTGCTGTTGTAAAGTCACCAGTCAATTATTGTTTCTAGTTTATTAGTAATTATTAAGTGATTCTCCATATTTCTAAACCCATACTTCTTTTACTGCATGTTCTCTTGAAAGGGAAGTTGGCACGTTGTGTTATGGCTTATAAATACGAAACAATATCCCTGCCTGTCAGCCCAAAACATCTGATCTCAGTTAGTTAGTTAGTTAGTTAGTTGGGTTATCCTCATTGCACTCCGGACATGTCCATAGGTGCTCAGATCCTCCCATCAGTATGAACCCCAACGTCCGATGGCTAATAGTACCAGTTCTATGTTGATTAACAAGTCTTCTGGCGTAGCTGGTGTGCGTCTCGTTTTTTGCTGTGCCGATCTTAATTCCCAAGTCTGCCATTCTGGCGAGTGATGTGGATTCACTGCCACCAAAGTCGTCTATCCTTCCCATTTCTCTGAGGGCATTGATAATATCAGCATGATCCATAGGCTGACCGTCGGTAGTGATAGCGGATCCAGCCAACCTGTCAGCTCTTTCATTTCCATCGACGCCTGCGTGTCCCGGAACAAAAATAAAGGGGACTCCACGGACAGTGGACTTCTGTAATGATTCAAGCCATTGTCTTCGCACTGAACCTGCCTGAACCCTCCGGATCATACTCATTGAATCACTGAGTATACACACGCGGGTGTATTTTTGTGTTTCAAGCCAGGCAAGCGCTTGTGTCACTGCCATCACCTCCTTCGTCATGCTGCTGGTTGTCATGGAGAAGGCGCCATTGGCTTCTTTGACTGTTCTGCCCGCTGAGCGTGCTGTAAATGCCCATGCGCTTCTTCTTTGGCGTATAACGGATCCGTCTGTATAGATTATTGCATCTGCTTCGTCTGAATTTTCACCGATGAGAGCGTTGACCTCTGTATTAACAGCAACAGGATTCTCTTCTCTACATCGCCTGTTGAGTGTGACAATACAGGAAAATGTACAAATAAACGCCTGAGGCACAGGTATCCATTCTGCACCAGGTATGATGTCGGTTAGGCTGCATATTTGCCTAATAACATCTACTGATCTCAGTAAACCCCTAATTAGTCCCCTTTTATGATATGCTTGTTGAAGGCACATGATCTGTTCCCCCGCTCCCCTCTTTTTGCAAAATCATTTTTTTTTTAAATTTTTAATTTTATATACTTACTCATCATCTTCACTGCTGGGCTCATCGTCACTGCGACTAGCATCTGATTCATTGTCACTACTGCTGCCTACATCATTTTCATCATCTTCTGGAGAGCCCAGAACCACAGCATCATCGTCCATCTGCACACAAAAATAAAACAGCTTGTGTAGTGGAAATGCAGCCATTAAGTATAACTGTCTAACAATCGGACACTGACGCTGAATACCTAACCTTCAAGTATTAGGCTTAACTGATGTTGACCACCTCACCCACCGAATGTAGACTGGTCTATAAAATATAAGCCTTGCCCTATATGCCTAATATGCATGAAGGGCGTGGAAAAGGATCCTTTACCTTTTACTTATTAGGCTTAAACATTTAATATCAAGCATTACAGGGTCTCCTCACTTACAACCGAGCTCCGTTCCAACTTACAGGTCGTTAGCTGAACTGGTCACAGAACAAATTTACATTTTTCAAAACTGTTTTCATTCAAACTGCGGTATCTTGACAGTCTGCCATACGTGACCAGGTCAACAAGACTGACGTCTAGACCCTGTGCTCTAAGCATCAGTTATCTCTATTTATTTACTATTTATATTTATGAATAAGCCAAAAGGCGCTGATATTGCAGGCTAGCTGCAAACTACAAAGTGCTAAATGTCAAAAGAAGGTATAGTTCTGTCGCCCAGCTACTGAGCTGAGTGCATTGAGCAACACAGTGAGGTGCAATTTCATTTGGAATTCCTATCCTCTGTGCCCATCAAGGTGTGTGCTGTAAACTTTAGATTCTGAAAATGACTAGTGGCCACAGAATTGGTGATGGCTTATGCGATAGTGTGTAAACAATTGCCATTCTGTAGTAATTACTATTTCCAACAATGATGAGCTGCAGTTCCAATGGCAGACTGTTTGCGTTGGTGCTTTCAACAGCTAGGTGTCTTATGCATTAATATGCATGTATGTTATTGGCTTTGCCAAGACTAAATTCAGGGGCAATTTTTTAATAAGGGATAGTGATATGCTTTCACTGGTACTGGAAAGGAGCAACTATGAGGTGATCACTTTGCCTTAAAGTTGGGGCTGCGATTAACTGATTAAGAAGAAATTTAGATTTTGCATTTACTTTTTTTCTACAGGACAAAGTTAGTTTTCATCCCAGCTCTTCACGCTTGTCTTGTTTTGTATACAAAGTCATGTTTATCAAGGTCAAAGGGGAGGAAAGTAGTTAACTGTTTGCTTTATTTGTATTCAGCAATTAATGTGTTTTTGCAAGAAAAAATATTTAAAAAAATAATGTTAATTATTATCAAGAGCAGAAAAGAATAAAGCCACCAACACCGACACAAGACGATTATAATATTATAGACAGACCAGAGCAAGTAATTTTTCTATGCCTCCAAACAGGACACAACTGACTTGGCAGCCATGTGTACACAAAATTTAAGACTGGCGAATCAGCCATGTAAACATGTGGATTGGCACCTGATGCAACAGATTAGTCCTTCAAGACTGTCTTAAATACAACATATCAAGGCAAAACTTCTGGCCTAGTGAAACCCCGGTGCAAGCCAAACTTTACGGGTTGCTGGGTGAATTACAAAAGACAGTGTGTCATATCTGCAGATAGAGACTATTTGAAGCGAATAAAAAAATAAGAGGAATTCATTATTCTTTTAGTGATCAGGCAACAGAAATGCAGCAGTGAACTTTACACTTGCCTGTTTGCTCTGTGATCTAGGGTTTTGACACCCCCCTCCCCCTTTCCATATTTATAAAAACATAAAAACTGTCCAAGATGCTATGTTTTTTTCTGCTTCTACTTTTCTCCTCCTAGCTTCTCAGGCTAGAGTTTGAAAGAATTATAACGGTGCATTTTTGTGTGTAATACAATTTTGAAAAAGTCATTGTTTTAAAAAGATTTTTATGGGGTGAAAGGATAATTGTTACCACACACAAAAAAAATCATTAACATCAGAAAGAAGCAGTTATCATATCTGGTCCAATTATGAGGACACAAAAACTGGAACATATGATAACTAGAAAGATTTATGGAAAGAGATAATAAGGCAGACAACAAGGATAAGGTTACTGACAGTGTTAAATACACTGATAAATACTGCTGTGAACTGCAAAATGTGGAGCAGCAGTCTAACCTCATCCGCTAGCAAGACCTCATCCGCTAGCAAGAAACTTGATGAAGAGGATGATAATGAAAAAATAGTAAACTCAATGCAAAAACTTACGTCTTGGTTCCGCTTTTCAAGTTCTGCCTGGCGTCTCTGTTCTTTCAGCTTCAAGCGTTTTTCCTGTAGATCAACAAGAAAACTGAGTGAACTCGGAAAGTGTAAAGGTTAAAAATAAGCTAATTACTGTGAATGCAAACTTTTGAACGAACATTTGTAAAGAAAATTTTATCTCAATTTCCAAAGTACAAAGCAACTATTTTATCATGCAAATAGGAATGAACATAAAAAGTGACAATTTTATTTCTTCTCTTCTTCTTCTTCGTGTTCACCGGCTGTAAACTCCGGTGGAAAGTTCTGGTTGTTCGACTACTTCCAGGCTGCAGTCCTTTTCCAGAACCTAAGTGTTGCGTGTGCATTCATTTGACAGATCTGACTAATTTGTATGCAGACTGTTGGTTGCACTCCGACTTCGAAGAAACAATTTTATTTGTTATTAACTCAAGTACCAAGCGGGTATTTTAACTCATTCTATTCTGTTACTTTTAACATTTTTGGCACTACTGTCACTATGCCAAAGTCAACTTTGTGCTTATACATTTTTTTTTTAGAAAAACCTGACTGAACATTGAGATCTGTTTGAAAAAAAAAATTTTAATAACAAGACGGAAAGGTTAAAAACTCTGGCCACAAACAAATAGATAACAGGAAAATCAAACGAATGAAAATATGCAACTATTTAGGTACAATATTTAACTGCTTAACAAACTAAGAGAAGAACAAAATCTAGAATACAATCTGGGAAAACAGTACACTTTGCCCTAAAACATCTGCTAAAACCAAATGTTCTATCTTGTAACACCGAAATTACAATATATAAAATGCTGACAAGACCAGGTGCCTTTTATGGCTCTGAAACCTGGAGCACAATTAAATGAGATAAAGCTTTTTTTTACAAATTTGTTGGAAGTCTTGCCATGATCCTTTTGACCTATCTCTAAGAGTGGTAGGGATAGTGAGAAACGACAATGAAATGTATTATCTAGCTGTTTAAATCACCACTGATCACTGGCATCATGAGGGCTCAACAGACAAAAGGCTGGTACAAATACATGGAATGGTAGATGACAGAGGCAACAACTTTGTACACCAGGGAATAGAATGTGTAATCCATGAGGCAGACCAAAAATATGGTCAACATCATCAAGCGCCTTGCCAGCTGGCGTAGGCATTAATGCATCGCCACAGATCTCGGTCTTTGGTGTTCTAGATCAATTCCGCTAATGATACTCCTCTATATCACTGTCTTAAGCCATCCACCATCCTGGTCTGCCTCTGCCACTTCTATCAGTCATCTTTGCAGTCGTCATGATATTTTCCAGTGCTCCTTTTCTCATCACATGACCAAAGAACTTTGTTTGTCTCCTCATTGTTGTATATAATGTTCTACTTTCAATAGCTATTTCCAGGCAATCATTGTTAGTTATTCTGGCAGTCCAGGGTATTCACAACATTCCTCTCAAGAAGCATATCTTAGTTGCCTCTAAACTTTTCTTAATTTGTTTGCTGCCATGCCAAGATTCACTGACATGCAACAGAACAGGCTTGATGTAATATTTCACTTAAAACATGGTGGAGAAGAGATTAATATCCAGGCAGACCTACAAACATCTGGAGTCACCAAGTGGAAAGAGAAAGTTAATCAGAGATATGAATGGAGGTGAATGATATCTACAGCAATGAACCTCGAGAGTTTGGAATGCTAAAGAACTGCTAGTTTTACCTCTCTGGCGTCTTAATTCATGTGTGCATTTTGTAAAGTATAAACAATCCCTGAGAAAAAAAGTGGGTCTATTTCCCCCTCTTCCCTCCAAATAGGGCCTCAGATTTAACAGAAGAATAGAAGACAAATTCAGAACTCACCCTATGTTGTTGTTTAATTTTTTGTCTCTGCAATTCCTTGTCAATTTTGTCCTGTTCCTTCATTCTCTGTAATGCCTGCTTGATGTTCAGTCCTCCTTTGTCATCATCGCTGTCTTTATTATCAGGCTGAAACAGGAAATAAAACAAACGATTACCTTGATGAACAGAAAATGTAGATCTGATGTTATCTAAAAACAGGCAGGATCTGCACTAGATAACACTGGGAATTACTTCTCTTTGTTAACTTGATTACAGCTGAACTCGCATTTCAAAAATCCCTTGACTCTTCACAATATATGGGTTATTCGGGGAAAAAAGTTTTACCTGCAGTCCATTCTCATGTAATTTCTGACACTTTAATGTCACAAAACATATTAACAAATCCTGGATACTTTCTCTATTCATGCTAAAAAGTTATAATGACACCAGCAGACAGTGCATTATGTGCTAAACCAGGTACTCTACTTTTCGAGACATGAATAGATAATTTCAAGTCTAGAGACACCAACCTAAATAATGCGTGATAACAGCATGCAGACTGTTGGTTACTCCCCTCAAGGGCAGATGCCCTCTGCTTTTAAAGGCAGCAAACTCCTAAACATTTGCTTTTTACAACTTGCTTATTAGGGGTCAATGGGCCTTTTCTTTCTTCTCCTTTAAAAATGGGGTCTAAGAACCCTACCTGGGGGGAGGGGGTGTCTTCTTTGTTCCAATATGAAAGAATGATTGTAAGCATTAGTGTCGGTAAATATACAACCATACTATGCTGGTAGAGGATTGTTTAAGCGCACTAAATTATTTTGGGGTACTTACATTGCCTTCTTCATCGAATGTAATTCTTGTTGTATATTTTAGCAGTTTAAGTTTCTCCCTGGCTGAAGATTTTCTTTTGTTCTTCCCTTCTTCTAATACCACCAGCTGCAGAAACAAAGAATTGATAACAGTTACAATGTTTGTTGTTGAAGCAAATGATAACATTTTGACAAACCTGTTTTCAGTTTAACTAAATGAAAAAACAGACAAACATATCTGCAGTTCAAATAAATCAAACAAATGACACTGAGAATTGGATAAACATGTATTTTCAGCTCAAGCTAATGATAGCGAGATGTGAATAAACCCTCCTTTTTTTTTCAGTTCAAGCAAATGACAAGATCTGGATAAACCTTTTTCAGTTCGAGCAAATGTTAATGAAATTATAACAAATCTGGTTTCAGTTTAAGTGAATGATAATGAAATTTGGATGGATACGCTTCATTTAGGTCAAGTGAATAACAGTGAAATTGAGACAAATCCATTTTCATCATCAAAATGATCAAAACATCTGGACATACTGTACATGTTATAAGCATATTCTGCTTCTTTTCCCTTTTAAAAGTTCAGATTTCCTTCTGGTTTAGTAATTCTAATAATAGTTTTTCCAAGGAATGTCAACTGCTGAAATGAGTAACCAGTTCTCTTTATGAGTTGACTTCTGTAAAGACATCTTCATTATCGTTGCTATCTGTTCATAATATTCTTACATAGGACTCTATTTCTGCAGGGTCTCAATCATGCCTCCCTAATATACTGATTATTTAATAAAGCTTATGTGGTCTAGGAGGGAAGCTCAGACAGGCGGACTGACAAAGCCCTATTCTGATCTGACAGACAACTTCTACGACATGCTTTGTTTTAAATGTACTGATGTCACCTTTATATTGTAGTAAACAAGGTTTAGAGGCGGGGGATCATGATGCATGGGCAAAACATAGTCTCTATAATACTGCCCAGGCTTTGTGCTATGGAGAAGTACATGCTTTGGCAACAGCGGTCCTGAAATCCCAGGCTCAGATTGCGGAAGGTTTATCTCAACATGAGCGGGTCTTGCTAGTCACACTTCCCATGGGATCTTATTCCCTTGCCTCCCTGGCATACTAATGTTAAATGCTGAATTAGAAATCGACATCACAGCACTTAGGACACTACCAAAAGCACTCTGTCCCCATCCCCAGCAGCAAGTGAAGAGTTCTAATTCCGATGATACCAGTAACTGTCTGATTATATATCCATCTCCCCTCTCCTCTGAGTGTTGTGCTTCGGCCGAATGTCCTGTAACTCCTTGCAGCGCCATTCTTATCAGACTGTAATGATCTATCTGTGCCTCCACACTGATCACTGGCTCAAAAAGGACCCTCACAACATATATCTTGTCATACATCAATTCACCATCAAGTGGTACAGAGCCGGCCAGTCTATCTGACTGATCATTTCCAACCACACCGGCATTACTTGGAAACAATATCCAATGGATGCTAACCACCCGGGACCTCCGAAGCCATGGCATACTAGAATACTCTAGATCAGAAAGATGGAAAGGTGCCCAAAAAACAAAAAAATAAAACAAAACAAGAGAGTTCAAAATTAACATTTATCTCCACAATAAAAAAAAGAACAGCAGAAGATGAAAGCAGGAATCCCACTATAACACTGCACTCTGGTATGACTGTAAGTGAACATTAGCTTTTTGTGAATATATATGGAACTGACAAAATAAATTTTTATAAAGTAAAAATGTATCACTGACTGTCAGTAAAAAAAAGAAAAAAAAATTACCTTCTCCGCATCTTTGCCATCATCAATTTCACCAATCTTAACATCTTTGACAACATTGTAAATGTTATCATCCTCATCATCATCACTGTTCACATCAAACCTACATTAAAAATAACACACAAAAAAGGCATGCTCATTAGTCTAAGACTTTTATAGTAATAACTTTCATAGTAACACAAACAATGAAAAATGGACTATCTGATTTGTATATTTCATTTGGAATTACTTACGTTTGTGTTGAGTTGAGGTGATTCAAGAACTGACATCACAGCACTTAGGGCATTCCCTTAAGCGCCCCGTACCCATCTTTAGCAGCCAGTGTAGAGTTTCAATACCTATGGTGCCAACAGCATTCTGATTATATGTCAAGCCAGATGTGGTATCATATGCTAGGCTCTCCTGCACCAAATGTCGATCATCATCTTTTGCTAAGAATTCCCCAAGCACTTTTTCTGCCTCTTGACACTGAACTGTCTGTATTTGGCTCCTGGAGCTACATTTATGGCCCAATAAATGCTGCTGCAAATTTTACTTAGTACCTGGCAATATATAGCCAAATATGCAATGCACAAAAATTGTGTAATCTGATATCTGTTATTATTATTTAAAACCTACAAGAGACAATATACAAAATATGCTCACATACAAGGGAGCAAGCATTCTACTAGTGAAATGTTCACTAATGAACCAACATATATATCTATATTACTAACTATATGTTCACTAACAGACCAGTACCCATACCACACACAAAAATAAACCTTCATTAACGAACCAGTACATCAACATTCTTTCAATAAAATGTTTTTATCGTTCGTCCGAGTGATGCAATGGCATTCTGCCTCTTTGCAACATAGCTGCGATATTTGCACCTTTGACTGCACTCTCTAGAAATCAACAAGGAGCAGCCTGCAGGTCCTAAACCTCGACAACCATACAAATGAGCAATCTTAAAAAAAGTAGTAAAAGGAATGGCTGGGGGATAAAAAGGCAATATATGGCTACCAAATTATGCCAAATGTATCTCAAACATAGAAACAAATCCTGCACTTTACAAGCATTATCATCTATCTGTAAACTTACTTCAGAGTTTTCTGCCCTTGTTTATGCCTGTCTTGTTTCAACTTTGATTCATCTCCACTTTCCTCATCACTTTCTTCATCACTACCATCACTATCATCTTCTTCACTACTTTCATCATCTGTAGACTCATCCTTATCTTCATCTGCAGTCTTCTTTGCAGTTTTCTGTTTCAGTTTTTCTAAGAATGCCAGTCTGGGAGCTTGTACTAAACCAAGAGATCTGCAAAGAAAAAAACAGCAGAATTAACAAAAGAGTAGGAAAATCAGCAAGTGATCACACTCTGAAAAAAATATACGACAGAATACTTAAGATAACAGAACCTAGGGCGCGCAGTGGCTTGGCACGTGCCTGCTAGTGGGAAGGTCTTTGGCTCAAATCCCCAATGGGATATTTTTTTTTAAAAACTGATCTAGAGCTCTCAGGTCGACCCAGCCTAAAACTGATAACACTGTCTCTGAAATCTAGAGCCCATTATATCTGAGAAATGAGTATAAATTATTTCTCAGATCTTTAGGACCATTATTTCTCAGATCTGTGGTCTACGATCTCCAAGACTTGGTGACCTAATGTCTCTGAGATCCTCTGCCAGTCCAGTTTGGCCATTAATCTAAGACGTATGACATAAAAATATGGCAGGAGTCCATCAGACGGCTCCATAAACCTAGGGAAGAGCCAGGTGGTGCGAGCCAGGTACAAGCTATTCTGTTTTTCCATGTGGGTCATGGACATCACAGGTATGGGGAGAAAGTGTAATGTGGGTCGTTGACATTATGGGTATGAGGAGTGTAATCACAGGTATGAGGAGTGTAATCAGATGTAGGGAAGAGTGCAATCAAGGGACAGGAAAGAGTGCAATAAAGGGACTGGGCAGTGAGTGCAATCACAGGTTTGGGCAGAGTAATCACATGTATAATGAGAGTGTGTAATCACAGGTACATGAAGAGAGTGTAATCACAGGTAGGGGGAGAGAGTGTAAGCAGGTTTGGGGAGAGAGTGTAATCACAGGTATGGGGAGAGTGTGTAAACAGTTAATTCTCCTCTGTGATTGTGTTACTGATTCAATCAATCAATCAGGTGCCGTCTCCACAATGAAGGTTGGCTGCAATGGATCTCCAACAAGCCTTGTCTCTTGCCCTTGATGTACACTCACTCATACTGCTGTTCGTCCATCTCTTGATGTTATCCTCCCACTTGTAACGCTGTCTGCCTTTTGCTCACCTACCTTGAACCTTTCCCTCTAGGATGTTCTTTACAATACTGTTGTCTTTTAATGTGGCCAAAATATTTCACTTGTCTCTTTTTTATTTCACCTAGCAACTCTCTTTTCATTCCCAATTTCCACAGTACCTCTGTATTTGATAGCTTTTGTTTCCATGAAATACGAACTAATCTTCTGTATATCCACATCTCCAAAGAATTGATACGATTTTCCAGTTGTTTGTTCATTGTCTATGTCTCTGTGCCATACAGTAAGGTTGAGAATACATAACATTTGACAATTCTCATTTTAAATGTATTGCTTATTTCTCTTGATGTCAGTAACTTTTGCATGTTGTTGAAAATGTTTTTGGCCATCCCTATTCTTTTCTTGACTTCTGTTTCACTTCTGCCGTCACATGTTATTACTTGTCCAAGATATAAGAAATTTTTAACTTGTTCCAATTTCACCCCGTTCACTGTGATATTCATTGTTAGCTGATTATTTTCTTTGCTAAATATCATGGTTTTTGTCTTTTTCAAATTTATATCTAATCCAAATTCTGCACTCCTTCTGTTTACTTGCTCCACTAGGTCTTGCAACTCATGCTCACTCTCTGCTAGTAACACTGTGTTGTCAGCATATCTCAGATTGTTTATTATTCTACCATTGATGTGCAGTCCTGGTAATTCTACAATTTCTTTAAAAATGGTTTCTGTACATAAGTTGAAAAGGCTAGGTGACAGCACACATCCTTGTCTTACTCCTCTCTTGATCTCTATCTGGGGTGAGCAGATGTTGTCATATCTTACTGTTGCTTCTTGCTCCTAGGATAAGTTTCTAATAAGTCTGATATCCTTTCCACCTAGTCCTATGTTTTGAAGAGCTGCAATTAGTTGTTCATGTTGAACTCTGTCGAAAGCTTTTTTGTAATCTATAAAACATGCATAAATATTTTTCTGAACTTCTATATATTTTTCAGCCAGCATCTTTAGATAAATTATGGCCTCTCGAGTACCACTGTTTTTACGGAATCCAAATTGCTCTTAAGAAACTTCTTTCTCTATTTTATCTTGAATTCTTGCTTGTATTATCTTCAAGAGTAACTTATGTGACTCATTAGGCTAATAGTTCTGTAATCTTCACAATCAACAGCTTTTGATTTCTTGGGTAGTGTGATAAAAACAGATTTTTTCATGTCCCTGGGAATGTACCCATAGTTATAAATGTCATTGCATATTTCTGTGATAGTATCAATTCCAAAAGTAGATAATGATTTTAACATTTCTGCAGTTATGTTGTCTGGACCTGCAGCTTTTCCCTGCTTCATCTGTTTAATGGCTTTCTCTACTTCAGACTTTAATATGTTTGGTCCCTCTTGAATATTATGGATTGGCGGTTTGTCACCTTTGTTGTCCCAAAACAGGTCTTCTGTGTATTCAGTCCATCTTTTTATTATATCTTTCTTATCAACAATAATTTGTCCATCCTTCCCCTTAATACACCCATTTCCTGTTAAATTTTTTTCCTTGTTTGTACGTTTTCTTATATTTGCATGTATTTCCTTGGTTCTGTGTTTTATTTCAAGATCCTCTATTTCTTTGCATTTTAACTGAATCCATGTTAACTGTTACTAGCCCTCATGTATTTATTTATTATTATTTTGTGTGTGTGTTAAACACTGTTTATGAATTTTAATAAAGTTTTTAAAAATGTATTAATAACCTGTGTCTTTTTAAAGGACATTTTCCAGGAACTTTAGGGTTCTAGGCTTTTTTACCCTTATACCCACCGCACTCGGGGCTGTCCCATATCTGTCCCATCCTTTTCATCTGTAAAAAGTATCCTCGGGTGTATTGAGCATAAAGTACCAGACCAGTATTTTACAGACCAATCGGCACTCAGTGGATGATGTGGTCAACATTACACGGGACACTTTTACTTCTTAGGATTTTACCTGGTACTCATTTAAGGTTGGGTCAACCTGGGAGCCAAGGTTGTTAAAAAAAAAAAAAGGCTGGCTCCTGAGTAACCAAAATAATAATCAAGCTAATAATAATAAACAAATATGCAACTTACGCAGCAAAAGCCTCCTGGTCAACTTCCTGAAAGCTTGGCTTGTCTAGTACCCACATTGTTTTCATCACAGACAAGAAAGCCTATAATATAATACATTTGCATTATAATAATAATAAGCACACCACCTCCCCCCCCCAAAAACCTCAAATGAGTGAGTGGGAGCCGACATGGTCTAGCGGCTAGACGCTCGCCTGCGGATCGGAAGGTCATGGGTTCAGTTTCTGGCAAGGGCCAGATTTTTTTTCAAAAATGACTTTGGCTTCCGGGTCAACCCAGCCTTGAGTGGGTACCAGGTACAGTCCTAGGAAGTAAAGGCAGCCAGCATGATGCTGACCACACCACCCACTAAGTGTCGTTTGGTCTATAAAATATAGATCGAGCCCTATATGCCCAATACGCCTGAAAGGCGTGGAAAGGGGTCCTTTACTTTTACTATGAATGAGTGAGTGAATTAATAAAAGAATGAGCCAAGGATCAGTATCACTGTGCTGATGGTGCCTGTGTCAACCACAATAAAAATGACTGTAGACGTGGTTTCACTTTCCTCCAGTGAGTTCGTCATCGTCAGTCAACAGGTCTCTTACAGGATGTCACTCTCATTACGGCACACCTGAAAGTCTCTTTCTCTAGCCAATCCTTCAGCCATATGAGCTTTCATAGCCAATACATCTTCAGTCTTATGTGTCTACATTTATAGTGGTCAAAGTCTGCGCTGTTCTTCAGAAACTGTACCCTTCAATACCGTTTCTACAGGCCATCATGACGATTAACATGACCAAAGTGGGGCTGCAAGGTCTTGGGGCATGGCGTCCGCCTCGAGTGCTGGAGGTCCCAGGTTCAAGCCACGATGAAGGCTGGGATTTTTTCACGTGGACTTCTGGTAATTTCCCCTGGTCTCTGGGTAGTAAGATTGACACCAGTGGGTATTGTTACGCATTTTAAAAAAATCCCCTGGCAGCTGGAAATTAAATAGAGTAGCCTAACAGCCCGGCCCGGGCAAAATTTTGAGTTAAAAATCCACCCAAAAGTATTTCAGGATCCTCACTGGTGCTACGGGGTTCATGCACTGGGCTGAGATTCTTCGGACTTAAGCTTCAGTTAGAATTAGAAGGCAGCTCTTATGGGTTACTATCCTTGTGCCGTGATGTTAATCCATTGTCTAAACCTATAAACCTAAACATGGCCAAAGTACTTATGCTTGCGGAATAGCATGCTGTAATAAGCCAATTCTCCTCATTGCTCAGAACATGTAGGATGTAGGTGCTCTTCTTCTTCTTGGTTCCATTGAACTACCTAGTCATCATTTGTGTTCTGTCAATTTACATCACGTACAGCTGGTTAGTGAAAGCATTTTACAAGTCTTTTCAATACTGTCTTTCCTTTGTAGGATGCAATTTTTTGTTATTTGAACCCCCACCCTGGCTTTTGCCGGGGGCCCTGAATTTAGCTGGGCTACATTTGTGGCCATAACGACTGAAAGGGGTTTTTGGGACCTCTCTACAGGTGATCCTCATGCGCATGGTGACACTTTGTGTCACTGGGTGTTTATCGCTTGTGTGATGTCCTGGTGGGGTACAACAAGCAAGAAAGCATTTCACAACCCTCAATGTACCAAGGTTCAAAACATGTGGTGGGCGGTTTGGAAAAAGATCGTTCTCTTAGTTTTTTGGGACAGTGGTACAAGTGTCCCACGGTGGACAAACTGGCACATTATCCCATAATAATCAAGGTTCGGAGGGCCTTTATCTAAGTATTATTATTTATAATTCGATTTCCCTGTTTCTATTATTACTGTCACCATTATCAATATTATTATTATTTTCGTTCCTTTATTTACGTTTCATTCAACATCTCTTCCTGCTCCTAAATTTCATATTCTCTTTACTCATGCGACAACTCGCCCCATTTGACTGTGATGACTAGGATTCTTATTATGTGATGCTCGTTGATAAAGACTTTAGCCAAAACATTTGACTGTTTCTGTGTGCACTTTAAAGCCCCTCTAAATGCCAAAAACGCATCAGGCACGCATAGCTTGAGTAAATTCATTTCATGATTCAGCACAGCATATTTGGCCTGGGTGAAATCAGACCTAGGTAGAGAATATTTTTTTTATTTATTTTAAAGATATTCCATTATCAAAAAAGTCTAACCCTATCTGCAAAAGGACTTACTTGTGGTGCCTTATGCGATTTACTCTGTGTGCAACTACTGATCTGTTGTAACTGCTGCTTCCATCAATGATGAACTGCATTTCTAGTATCAGACTGTTTGTGTTGGCACGTCTAACTGTATGCATATGCTGTTGGATTTGCTACGAATGCAGCCTGTGCCAATTTTTTTTTAACCAGGTTCAGTGATGGACATTCTCTGTGGTTTGTGTTGTCATGGGAATGGAGCAACTATGGGGATCACCTGTTTGCTAAGAAACTGGAACTGTGATTACAAGAAGGATTCAAAAAAAAAAAAAGCAGGGAAAGAAGAAGAAGATACTCTAAGGATATGAAATTACACCTACATTCAAGAAGCTAGGGACTTGTGGTAGTAGTGCAACAGATAGACACTTGGTTCAAACCTGCACTGAGGTGGATGTTTTACAACTTATAACCTGTGATCCCAGGTTGACCTAACCTAATATGTGTACATTAGTACAAGGAAATGACATGGGAAGTAAAGGTGGTCAGTGTGATGCTGACTACAATGTGTGATAGAAAATTATATAGGAAGTAAAGCTGTTGGCCACATCACTTATCATAAACCAATTTGTCTATAAAATTATGTGCTTATGTGCCCCCCCCCCCCCAAATGGCTATGTATATATTATTTTAGCTTTGAGAGAGTCAACAACAGGACTAGTGTTGCAAGCATAAGGTGTTGTACTATTTAAGAAAATGTCACAAGTTAAAGAGTAACAACTTACTTTCTGAGCACCATCCTTAAACTCCTTCTCTGAGGCGCACAAACTCTCCAGTTTCTTAGTGATATCAAAGATCTGTTTCTTGCTGACTCTAACAGTATAGAAAAATGGTGTCTAGAAATTATGTTACTCTTATATTATCAAATTCAACACCACTACCCCCATGAGCATTCTCAACTGTGCTCAGTCCTCCACTGCAGCAGCCACTCCATTTAGTACCTCTAGTTTTTATAAATGTGTGTCTCAATACTGACAACTTATATATAATTGTGTATCATGATTTCAACAATTCTGACTGATAACTTGTATAGATTATTCTGTATCTTCACTTTACAAGCTAGTTCAAGAAAGTCATTTTCTAGTCATCAGGATTTGACAATTAAAAAAAAAATTAACCCTTCATGACCATGGGTCATATACAACTCTATAGAACATACAATTTCTTTTACATGCAATGATGTGTAGCATCATATGAACAATTCATCTATGGAGTGAAGACAGTCTTTGAATGACAAGGACTTTTATAAAAAAAAAAAAAAAAGATTTCTTTTCACGCCTTTAGGCGCATCGAGTATATGGGAAGTGCGCCAATATTTTTTCAGACCATCGGCACTTGGTGGGTAATGTGGTCAGCATTACACCGGCCGTGTCTACTTCCCCAGCAGAGCCATCCTGGTACCCATTTTAGGGCTGGGTCGACCTGCGATGCCCAATACCACGATAAAAATCAAGGACTTTTGTACTATTCTATAATTCTTTCTGAACCTTAGAGGGTTAAACTTCACATTCCTTCTCCATAATTTCAAACAGAAATAAAAAAAAATTAAAATAACCAATTCTATGAATGCAGAAAGAGTATAAGAACTACTCACTTGAGTTTGATGATCGGGATCTTTCTCTTCACCAGGTCTTCAACCGTTTTCTTCTCTTCTGATGGCAGCAACATGAGCAGAGCTTCTCCAACCTTATCATATCTACAATTGTAGTGAACACTCATTTTAGTACACTCAGTACATTTCACAAAATGTTGCATTATGTGTACATGTGAATTTTATTTGATTCTTCTTCCTCTTCCAATCATCAGCTGGTAGAAAGTTCTGGTTGTTCATCCACTTCTGGACCTGTCTTGTTTCAGAAACTGAGTTTGACTTGCACATCTGTTTTACTGATCTGGCTTACTTGTATGCAGACTACTGGTTCCTTGCCTCTCTGCAGATATACTCTGACTTGGAAGGAAACATCTGTAATTGGTTGACTCTTGTGACATGCTTGTTAGGGGTTCGTGGGTCTTTCCGTCTGTTCCCCACATGGAGCCCCAGAACCCACACGAGGAATGCTAACTGACACGAGTTTTAGACAGTTTGGGGGTCTTCATGGTGAAATGGTCAAACTGTTTGCCTTTTGCATCAACGGTTGTGGGTTAGTTTCATGAACAACATCATTCATTTCATGGGTGTAATTTCTAGAGATCTCTGGAGATCTTTACTGGAGCTATGGAGTCTGCATATCATGTGACACTCTTGGCAGGTGTCTTACCATTCTTCAGAGAGAGATCATGCCACACGGGATAAAACCCATTTCAAAGAAGTCGATCCTCTCGACTTTAACTCCTGACATTTGATATTGAGTCCCTACTGTAAAGAATTTGGAGTTATACTGTAAATATGAATCTCCATGACATATTTTGTACTTACTCTCCAGATAAAAGATTTAATTACATTGTATATGAAGCAATTCCCTTCTGCTTGATTATTTTGTTTCATATACAGTAAAACCCAGGCTAATGAAGATAATTTATTCCATAATCACATTCAAAATCTTCATTAGCTGAACTGTAACTGGTGTGAAAATTCAGCTCACATTGCAAGCTGAGACGAAAAACAATGAAAAATATTTTTTGTTGGCTGAATTTTGTTTAGCCTGGTTATTCATAGCCGAGGTACCCCTTTTAAGTTTATATACTGTCGTGAATTTGTGTAATTTTCCCAAAAAAATTTGCTCTGTCTATCACTATTGTCTTCGGCACACATTGGTTATCATTTATCACCTGCAGTCTTTTGATGAAAGTAAACTAATCAACGCTCTCTGAACTGAAAGAAACTGAATCATAGCTCTTTGTGCTTCTCTGGATGGATTTTGATTCTACCCGACCATTTTCTCAATGGTCAGAAACAAAACCTATGCTAAAACATGTGCTCTTTTATTCACTGATCAGTACTTATGCTCGATCAATGTAATTACATTGTGGTGTGGCACAAACAGGTTTCAAATTAATTCTCCGTATAAAAGAAAGCTGGTGCACACACCTACAGGACAGCTGTTTTGAATAAACTACAAGACAACTGTCTTGTATAAACTACAAGAAAGCTGTTTTGTATAAACTACAAGAAAGCTGTTTTGTATAAACTACAAGAAAGCTGTTTTGTATACATTACAAGACAGCTGTTTTGTATAAACTAAAAGACAGCTGTTTTGTATAAACTACCGGACAGCTGTTTTGTATAAACTACAGGAAAGCTGTTTTGTATAAACTAAAAGAAATCTGTTCTGTATAAACTACAAGAAAGCTGTTTTGTATAAATAAACTACAAGAAAGCTGTTTTGTATAAACTACAAGACAGCTGTTTTGTATAATTAAACTACAAGAAAGTTGTTTTGTATAAATAAACTACAAGAAAGCTGTTTTGTATAAACTACAAGAAAGCTGTTTTGTATACATAAACTACAAGAAAGCTGTTTTGTATAAACTACAAGAAAGCTGTTTTGTATACATAAACTACAAGAAAGCTGCTTTGTATTAACTACAAGAAAGCTGTTTTGTATAAATATACTACAAAAAAGCTGTTTTGTATAAATAAACTACAAGAAAGCTGTTTTGTATAAATAAACTACAAGAAAGCTGTTTTGTATAAACTACAAGAAAGCTACTGCAACAAAATATAAGACAGCTGTTGTGCAAAAATTACAAGTTCTCACCTGGCTGTACGTCCCACTCTGTGTATGTATGTGTCCACATTCTCAGGCTTATCTACTTGTACTACCCAGTTCACTGAAGGAAAATCTGTAAATACAGCAAGAAATGCATATAATAAGACTTGAAAAAGCTATATAAACAAGAACGAACAAACAAACTGTATTTTCATAGGGTTACAAATTGGGCACACATGCCCGTCTTACATTCAGCCTTTGCAAGCACTCATCTTCAGACCTCAACTGCATGCTATCAAAAATGCATGTTAAAAATATGACGAACGTGAGCTACTAACAAATAACAACTTCTTTTTCTCCACATTCACCAGATGTCAACTCTAGAAGAAAGTTCTGGCTGTTGGTCAACTTTTGGACTCTAATCCTCTTCCAGAACCCGAGTGTTGCAGGCACATCCATTTTATAAATCTGACTTATTTGTATGCAGACTGTTAATTCCTTACCTTTTCCCCACAATGGGGCCCCGGAACCCATACAGGAAACAAACAACAACTTTGTATATCTTTCATGTACAGCAAACATGTGTTCCACACATGGGCGTGCATGCTTGTATGCACACACATAAAACATGTCTATCAATCACAAATGGCAAATGTGTATTACCAATCATATAAAACAAATGCGAATCATCACAAACAAGTTTGTTTTACCTGTTACACAAAACAAGCGTGTGTATCTTTTGTAAACGGCAAACTTGTGCTACCTTTAACATATACACTCTCAAGAAAAGGCCTGCCTACCTAAGCCTCGGGCTGCCACATCTGTTGCCAACAAGACTGCATTCTGCTTGCGTGAGAAACTGTTGTACACCTCCATACGTTGGGGTTGTTTCATGTGACCATGAAGACACAGGATTGTTAGCCCTGGGTGCATCTTCTTAAACACTTGATAAATGTACCGTGTCTGAAACAGGCAGGGATATAACATCAAAGCATAATCAGGTGAGAACTTTGACATACATACTTTGACAGCTGTAATTTTATCTGTAGGGAGGGCACAGTCTGTGAGGAGTGCGAAGTTTAATATACAGATGTGAGGTTGAGAAGTCATGTGCAGGATGTGACTATTCCTTGGGTGAGCCCAGGACCAGAATGTCATGAATGCCAATGACATGCCCCTGCCTTTCATTAGGGGCCAACTAGTCTACACAAGGTTAACCTCGACGAGTTCACCGGAGGCAACACTTGTAGACAAGGGGACAAAGTGAACACCACAAATAAGGCTATGTTGTATCTTACAAACGCTATCCGGGAATTTAATCCGCTCAACAAATGTTAGATGAATTCAGATGTGTAGGCTAAAAGGTGAAGCTATAAGTTTTGCTGTAAACAGGCACAATGCAGTTACGTTACTCGGACGAATGAAAAGAAGAATTTGTCTATAGGATGTTAAGACATCTGTTATATCTGAGTTCTACACACACATCCGTTCCACGGACATAGCATGTCCATATGCAGACATCTGATTCCTCACCTCTCAGACAGATACATCCCTGACTTTGAAGGAAAAGCCCTAATTCGCTGCTTTACATGCTTTTAAAGCGGGGAAATGGGTTCTTGTTTTCCCCAAACTGGGGTCCAGGAATCCATACAGAGAAATGTTTCTGTCATGTAACAAGGCTGAGGTTTAAGCAGAAGACCAGTGACCATCTGATTAATGTTATTTATTGCAATTATCCTACTTTCGGAGAGTGGTAAGAGATAAACAATAGAAGAAACTGAGACAAACTCATGTCAGAAATGCTAAACTGTGAAATTCCAGACCAGACTTACTTGTTTACAGCATGACAGGAACACCAGAATCTTCTTGTGTCTGTGAGTTCTGATGAAAGACCACAATGTGTTGATTTTATCCTGCATCTCACACACAATGTAGCGCTGCAACAAAGTAAAATAAGGTGAACCAAGGTAATGCTGTACAAAAACAACACACACAAAAACAAACTTACCCATGAAAAAAATAAGGGAGAGAACAGGCTAACTTTATTTTCAAAGAGTCACAAATTGGGCACCCAGGCCCGTCTTACATTCAGCGCTTCCAAACACACATCTTTCACAGTGGTGAAAATATGGGGTGATTGCAGTCGAGCTAATACCAAGGAATTCCAGTTAAATGTGACTAAAAAGCTAAAAGAAATGGGAGAGCAGAAAAGAGTGCAAATAAAAAACACAGATCAACGTTTCCACCGACAGCCTTTCTTGAACAGGTAATGAACTACACAGAGGTAACGAAAAGGAGAGTATTCCAATCACTAAGGGGTCACGTGAGCAACTTGTTTTAAAAAAAAAATGTGATGTGGAATGAATGAAATGAAATAAACAAAGGCAAAAAAATAGTTGCAAAAAAGAAAAAGTAATATTGTTAATATGTAATAAAATAAAAGGAATAAAAGAGTAATAGAAATACAAATGTTAATGATCCATAAATGGTACTGATAAGAGATAGAATAAAATAATAATATTAAATAAAAACGTAATTAAAATTTAAAATGTGATAATAGTAACCTTGGACACTGACAAAAGAACACGAAAGAAAACTAATTACCTGTGAGAGGAGATGTTTGAGAATGGCTGTGAATAAAACCAGAAGAGATCAAGTGAGAAATGACGAGATCACAAGAACAGTTGGAACAACACCCATCATCAAATTTACTGAGAAACAAAGAATGAAATGGTCTCGCCATCTAATGAGAATGAAAGCAACGATGCCAGCAGCAAGAGCGTACAACCTGAAAATCAAAACATCAAGAAGCAGGGGAAGACCCAGAAGAAGATCAATTTAAGGAGTCACTAACACTTTGAAACCTCATAACATCACGTCATATCAAGTGACTGAATGTGCCCTGGCTCAGTCGCCGATCGTCAGATGAAGTGCGATGACTTGCGGCATAAGCAGATATTGACAAAAGAAGAAGATAATAGAAATAATATGAATATTATATATGTATTATATTATTATGTATTGCCTATATGATATTCACTGGAATATCTTTCACACAGCTGTATTTTATCAATAAAGCAAGAGAGAGAGAGAGAGAGAGAGCGAGAGAGAGAAGCATGCACATACACACTCATAATTTACTTTTATAGTTATGTCTCTCTCTCTCATATATGCACATACAGACATCAGGATCTCAATGCCTTGCCAAGTGGGGTGGATAATCATGCCTCTCCACAATCTGTAGTCTTCAATAGCATGTATCAGTTGGATGACACAAGACTGTCAAGAATCTTCTCACGCTGTCTTCCTTTGATTCTTTTTTCCACTGATCTTTCCAGTGGTCACAACGGTTCTAGTTTCCTTTTTCTCATAATATAACCAGAAAATAATGACGTCTCTTTCTGATGTTTGTAGTAAGTCGTATTCGAGGCCTCACCCCTTTCAAAACACCTGGGTTGCTCTTTCTGGCTGTCCAACAAACATACATACAGACTGCAAACATATTTTACTATGACTATTTTATAAATAGCTGAAAATTTACTTTACTAGAAACTATTTTATAAAACACATAAATCCATATAAACTTCCCTTGATGTCCAACAGTCATTACACACTGCAGCACATTATCTACAAGGGGATATTACACACCAACCTGGTCAAGTGTTGTTGGTGTCACTTCCTTGGCTTTTTCATGCACAGAAACATAGATAGGTTTCTTGAGGCTTAATCTGGCCAGGTCTTTCACTGATCTGCAACCAAATACAATCAAAGAAAAATTCAATAATGAGCACACAATTTCACGGCAATTATTTCAGTGTATGAAAATTCTTTTATTGTTTAGATTTACTAAAGTAAACAAAGGACTCTTTTCCATGCCCTATGTGCATTGGGTATAAAGTGCCAGATCTACATGTTTAACCAAGTGACATTCAGTAGGTGATGTAGTCAACATCATGCTAGCCACCTTTGCTTCCCAGAACTTTACCTGCTACCAAAGTTGACCTGTGACCTAATTCAGGCCTGCAGACAAGCATCTGTGTGTTTCAAGACTTTCAAAATTAACTGTAGGCATTATTATTATTTAATTATTTATATTTATTTATTTAGCAGCTAGGCAGGTATAAATTATTTCTTTTTTTTTTTTAAATTTAATTCATTTATTTTTGAATTATTCATTTTTAAAAATTATTATGATTTAAAGCTAATTATTGTATAGATTATTACATTATAGAGCATTGTATAGATTTATAAGATGTATTCAAGTAAAGTGAATAAAGGACCCTTATCACGCACTGAAGTGTATCTGGCATATGGTGTCAGCCTATCTGTATAGGCCTATAACATTCCCTGGCTGATGGGGTAAGTATCTTTCTGGTCTCTTATTTGCCGGAACATTTTCTGGTATCCTGTGTCAGTAAAATTTACTCAAGAGTTAATTGATCTGCTTTGAATAGACAAGACCCTCAAACAATTTTGTAGAACCCTATATATAACTGGGACCGAATTGGTGTAGAGGCTAAACATGCTTGCATCAGAAGGTTGTAAGTTCGGGTCCAGCCTAACCAGACTTTTTTCTCTCCAAAATCACACGGCTCCCAGGTTGACCCAGCCTTGAGTAGGTATCATATAGTTCTGGGAAGTAAAGGCGGATGGCGTTATGTTGAGCACATCACCCACCGAGTGCTGAACCCTATAAGCCCAATACGCTGGAAGGCGTGGAAAAGTGTCATCTATATATAACTGAAAATGTATGAAAACAGACTTGTTGTAATCATTATAGCAAAAATGTAAATTAACAGATTCTTAATCTTTTACATAATATTACAATTCTTAAATTAAGAAATGATATCAATGCATTCAGGATATTCCCATAAGTGCTCTGTCTTATCTACAGCATTCAACAAAGAGTTTATTCGTTTGTTTGTTTATTCGACGGATCAACATCATGGCACCCGGGTGTAACCCAAAAGTGCTCCATTTACTTCTAACTCAAGCCTGAGTCTGAAGAATCTCAGCGCAGTGCATGAACTCTGTTGCACCAGCAAAGATCCTAAAATACTTTTTGGGTAGATTTTTAACTCCATATTTTGCCCGGGCAGCATTGTTTGGCTGCTCTTTTCGATTTCCAACTGCCAAAGGATTTTGTTTTTTGCGTGTGCAAAAATACACACGGACGTCTGATCTTACTACCCAGACACCAGGAGAAATTACTAGAAGTCCACGTGAAAAAATCCCAGCCTTCACCGGAGACCTCCAGCACTCGCGGCGGACACCATGCCTTGAGACCACTCAGCCCCCTAGTCAACAAAGAGTCTGAATACTGATGGTACCAAAAGCAGTTTGATCATATGTCGATCCTGCCATTCCTCCGAGTATAGAGTGTTGGCCAGATCTGCTTTTCACTCCTAGCCACACCATACTCTCCACACTGTAATGGGCTACTCACACTTCCACACTGTTCACTTGCCCCTAAAAGGACTTGACCATATCTAGCTCATCATGCAATAATTCACCACCTAATGGAGCAGATCCAGCCAATCTGTTTGCTGGTTCATTTCCCGACACCTCTGCATATGGAGGAGAAAAGTATGACACCAAGTATTAGGAGATCCACATTCCAATAATTAAAGTCCCTCAGATTAGGATTTAGCTAAATAATTAAAGAAGTAAAAGACAATTTCACAACCTCCTGATCTTCTTATAGTTCATAATTTGTGGCTTTAGTAATCATGTCTGCCACTATTAACTCTTTAAGTCCCAAGGAACGCATCATACGTTCATAGGTTCCTACCTAGAAGCCCACCCAATGAACGCATGATGCGCAGATTCTATTACTTTCTTTACTACCCCCTGGGCCTGTGATGCTAAACCCCCTGGGACTCAAAGAGTTAAAGGAAATAAATCTTGCTGCTGCTGGGGTTTTAGCCATGATCGTATTGTATACAGAAAAGATATAAACCCGAACGAAAAGTATATTAGCAAGCTTCACTTCACAATATAACAAATACAACAACAAAAAAAAGAAAAAAAAAAAAAGAAAGAAAAAAAAAAATGTATTGTATACAGTATGACAGCAAGTAAACTTTTTCTGTGTACACTATTAAAAGGGAAGTTAGCATGTGGTGTTGTGGTTTACAACCAGGCTGTGATTTCTGCAACTTATGAACCAACATATCCAATTAACTTGCCGCCTTTTACAACATACTTGTTGAGGCACTGTGAGCATATCCCCCACCCCACAGGATGGACATAGGGAGCAAGTGAACAACATACTATACTACCATAACCAAAACAAATATAAATTATACATACTTTGTTTGAGTGGCAGAAAATAAAAGAGTTTGCCTCTGTTTTGGTAGTGCCTCAATTATAGCATTCATGGTCTCTGCGAAACCCATATGAAGAATTTTGTCTGCCTCATCCAGCACTGGGAACAAAGGAAAAGATACATATCACTGAGTTACAAGTGAGAAAAAGAAAACAAGTCATATTATCTCATCCTCTCTCTCACACACACACAAACTCCCCACACTGTACTGTCTTCCTATTTTGTCTGCCTCGTCCAGCACTGAGAACAAACAAGAAGATATACATCACTGAGTACAAGTGTATGGGGGGAGAGAGGGGGGGGGAGAGAGATTCATATTATCCCATCCCCCGCTTCATAAATGCAGGTGTTTTGAAGATCAACGGACCTACATGTTTTGTGTGATGTTCTAGGCAGGTAAACTCCAACTCTGTGGAGACAGACCAATTCTGCACAATTGTTTCAATATTGTGGTAAAATCTGGTCCTGCACCCTTAACCTCTCCCAGAGAGAGAGACCATCACTACCCATTACAAATGGCCATTAAAACCATTGAACCAGCATTGCTGCAATGGCCTGCCTTAACAATCCTAGTCAGTGGTGTTGGTTCTGTTTGCACCAGCAGTGCTTAGGATCACGTATGATTACATTTGGGGGGGGGGGGGGGGGTGGAAGGGTGGGGTGGTTATTTGTGGATAGCTGTAACATCAAAATTTGTCTTTAGTCTTAGCAATTGTGAAGCAGTAGCATCAGGGTATGAGTCGCTGTATTGTATCCAATGGAATTTATTCTATTTAATTCTCGGTGATACTCATGTTTACTGGTTACTCAGAATACCCACAAAAACAATGGGTCAGAGTCTATACTGATGGGTCCACACAAAATGCAGTTAGAAATGGTGGTGCTGGAGTTTACATCGAATTCCCAGATGGTACTAGGGATAAGTCCAGCATACCAACCGGGAAGTACTGCCATAACTATGATGCAGAAACTCAGGCTATAAAGATAGCAGCAGAGAAACTGCTAAATATCAATCTTGGCTCACAGTATATGGTAATGCTGACAGATGCAAAATCGTAATGCAGTGGATACCGTCTTATTGTGGAGTGCCTGGAAATGAGAAAGATGATCTACTAGCAGGGGAAGGTGCGACAAAAGTGCAGCCGGATGTACCAGTCACATACCACCAAAAGAAAAGAATCATTAAATCGATCAGGAAACCACCAGCCCCAGCACAAGACGACTATTTTATTATGGACAGACCAGAACAAGTCATTATCCTTCGCCTCAGAACAGGGCACAACCGAATACGTAACCACATGTACACAAAATTCAAGATAGCTGTATCAGCCATGTGCACTTGTGGAAATGTGCCCCAGACAGCAGAGCATGTACTCCAGGACTGCACTGAATTTGATGCATTATGGCAAACCTTTTGGCCAGAAAGAACAACAGTGGAACGTAAACTCTATGGACCACTGAATGAACTAAGAGCGACAGTGAAATTTATACAAGAGACAAAACTGCTGATATAGATAACTTATTTCAGGCAAACGAAAGAAGAAGAAGAAGACAGGCGTATCAGCCATGTGCACCTGTGGAAAGGTGCCCCAGACAACAGAGCATGTACTCCAGGACTGCACCGAATTTGACACATTAAGGCAAACCTTTTGGCCATAAAGAGCAACAGTGGAACGTAAACTATATGGACCACAACGACAGTGAAATTTATACAAGAGACAAAATTGCTGATATTGACAACTTAATTTCAGGCGAACGAAAGAAGAAGACTGGTTACTCCTCTTCACATTATTTCCTAGATTAATTGTTGATGTTAAACAAAATTATTTGTAAATTTTTTTGGGGGAGGATTTTTCTGGAATTTTTGTGTTCATGACTTCCCCCTAAGGGTTTCTGGGACAGAAGAGTAATACAATGTCTGCTGTATAACAAGAAACAAAATAAATTTACCAAGTATTTTCAGCTCATCTGCTGTAAAATTTGGAGTCTGCTCAAAGTGCTGCAACAGTCTGCCAGGAGTGCAGATTATGATGTTTGTTGTATTCATTTTCTTGGCTTCTTCCTTCAAAGGCTGCAATGATCCAATTTTAAAAGCAATGTAAAAACAATTGTTTGTCGTATTATCACTATACAGTAGTTATTTTGCAGATCATCCCTCTCATAATTTTTTCTTAATTCTGCTTTTGTCCTACTGCTTATGCCATCAAGAGGAGTTAGATGTTTTTCCCTGTCTTTAACTAGCTGCACAACTTGTGTTAATGTCATTGCATTTCTGTAGTGTATCTTTTACTCTCTCCACCCATTATTTCTTGGTTGACCTCTTGATTTGTACAAAGCCTGCCGTTTCTTATGCAGTATGCTCTTGCAGCTTACTGATTTTGACCAGATGAAGAAACCATTTGATTCTTTCATGGTCTACTAAATCTTTTAGCAGTACTTTTGTTTTTTGCTCTTCATTGATAACTTTCTTCATGCTTTTCCTGGCGCATTTCTCATTACTGCCTGCCAGAAAGATTTTGCCAGTTTTGTTAATGCCTTCATTTGTATGCCATGAAGACCTTAAAGTCCCAGTGTATCTCTTCATGCGGGCTGCTTCGTCTTTGAGAATCCATGCTTTACCATGCTGTTCTTCCTAAATCGCTGCAGTATTTCATGGTCAAAGTTTTATAAGCCAGGGTTTACTGCTGTTCAGGTCTTAAAAGATGTCTTCCCTTTCACTAAACTAGTCATAGTTTGTCTTCAGTCATTTTTCTGAAAGCCTCCTACTTCATAAGCATACCTCCTTAAAGTATGTTTGTCCCACTGTGTTTGTGGTTTACAGCTAGGCTGTTATATCTGCACCTTTTAGCCCAACACATCCAATTTCAGTAAATCCTTAACTAGTTGCTTAATATGTCTTAGTTGTTAAGAGGTTGTTAGTATAACACCCCCCCCCCCCCAACACATACAGAAATGCATGCAGAATTTGTGCCTTTGACACAACCGCTAGGCTTTTTTAGTTGATAAATCTCTGTGCGGTTTATTTATAAGTGTGAGAGAGAGAGAGAGAAAGAGAGAGAGATCGAGATCTTCAATGCTGCATCTCCATAACTTAAATGTTTTCATTGTGTGAAATAAAATGACTCGCTCTAAAATTTGTCAGCTTCTTATCTTTAAAGTGTCTGTATCTTCTTCTTCCACTTAGCGTTTACCAGCGGTCAGCTCCTGGGAAAAGTTCAGATTGTTTGTCCACTCCTGGACTTTGGCCTTGATCCAGAACTTAAATTTTGCATGCACATCCATTTTACAGATCTGACCTGTTTGTGTGTAGACTATTAGTTCTTTATATCTCAGGTAGATGCATTTTAACTTTGAAGAAAACACTCCCAATTAGTCACCTCCTATGACACACTTGTTAAGCGGGCAGTGGATCTATTCTCTCCAGGCCATAATATTCTTGTTTCTTAGTAGAGAAACAAGATTATTATGGCCTGAAGACAATAGGCACCTGAGTGTAACCAGAGGGTCTAGCCGGCTCACTACACTCAGAGGAAAGGCAAGACAGACATAAAAACCAGATTGTGACCGGTACCATCAGTATGTGAACTCTGCGCTGGCTGCTGAAGATGAGGACAGATCAAGCTTGGAAATGCCCAGAGTACTGCCATGTCAATTTTTGACTCAACTCAACTGGATCTATTCTCTGTTCTTCAAAATTTAGCCCGGAAACCCACACAGGTGGTATCTACCTGAAATCAGAACTGTCACTTTATGCTCTCAACAAATTTACCTCAAACACACTGGCTGTGCCAGACAGACATTCTGACCTACCATGCCACCTGTCACAAGTCCAAAGGATAGGTCATGGAGTTTTCCTATTTTCTTCAGAACGTCATAAGACTGGTATGCTAATTCTCGAGTTGGTGAGATCACTAATGCTGCCATTCCAAATGTGGGTGTGAATCGCTGCTTGAAAAGGGTTTCAAGAATCTAATAAAGAAAGAAAAGTGGATATTCTCAGGTATGTGCATTCTTACATTTTGGATGAGGTGGAACGGTATCAGACTAGTTTTGCATAGAATTAGGGGGAAAAACAGCATGGTGACAGAGATGAAGATACAAACATTCACACACACACACACATATATATATATATATATATATATATATATATATATATATATATATATATATATATATATATATATATATATATATATATATATATATATATATATATATATATAAAGAGAGAGAGAGAGAGGGAGGGAGAATGATGGAGAGAGAGGGGAAGAGTGAGAGAGAGATAGGGAGAGAAAGAGAGAGGGAGAGAGAGGGAGAAGAGAGAGAGAGAAATAGAGAGAGAGAGAGAGAGTGTGTGTGGTGACCACAATAAATAAAGTGGTGGTGGTGATTATAGTGATGACAGTGATTTTAGTGGGGATAGTGAATATACACTTAGTGATAAATATAGTGCTGATAGTAATTAAAGTGATGATGGTGAATAGTATTGATGATGATCATAATGCTGATAGTGTTTAAAGAGATGATGGCAAATAGTGGTGATGGTTATAAAACTGCCATTACTGCCTGAATTTACTACTTCTGCTATGTGTGTGTGTGTGCGCGCGCATGTGCATGTGATGGGGTGAAAGGGGTTTTAAGCAAAAGGATTTATGGCCACATAGTTAGTGCTGTCACCATGGACTGTGAGGTTAGGATGGTATTTTGATTATAGTGAATAAAGTGGTGACCGTGAATATTGTGGCAATGGTGAACAGTGTGGTGATGATAAATATAATGTTATGGAAAATACAGCTGTGATTGTAATTTAATAGTGGTAACTGTGCACAGTTATGCTGGTAAAGATAATGTGATGATGATAATTATGATGAATGTAGTGGTGATGGTGAGCACAGATCATGGTGGTGACTATATTAGTGAGTGTAACTATGGTGAATATCTTCTTCTTTACAGCTGTAAACTTAAGCTGAAAGCTGTAGTTGTTCACCAACTTCTGGACCTTATTTTTATTTCAGAACTTGTTTTGAGTATATCAGTTTTACTAATCTGGATTATATGCATGAATACTATTGGTTCCTCTCCTCTTTGGTAGATGCACTCTAACTTTGAAGGAAATAGTCCATAATTAGTCGGCTTTTACGGCATGCTACATGCCACAAACACACACACACATTGGGGCTCCACAACCAAGACGAAGAATCGTGAATGTGACAACACTGATTACTTACTGGGATCAGAAATGCTAAGGTTTTCCCAGAACCTGTTTTGGCAGCTCCCAGAATGTCATGACCTTTGAGGCCAAACAATAAAGATTCTCTCTGGATGTCTGTTGGTGTGGTGAAATTGTGGACCTTGAGACCTGAAACCCATTTTCAGTTTCAAATCCAGTTTCAAATTTGCAGTCATCAAGAAGATTTATAAGAACTGGCTGAAATGTTACAGAGATATGTGTGTGTGTGTGCTCATGTTCTTGTACTGCTTTATTTTAAATGAATTATACAGACATACTGGACAGATAAGAGAGTAATTAGGCTGTTTTTAAAGAGACAAAAATTCATTAATGAAGTGTGTTACTGTATTAGAAGCTGTTGGTTGGTTGTAAATCATATGGAAGTGGGGAAGGCAGTGAGTGTTAAACTCCTTAAATCCAAGGCACTGTCACTCAGGTTGCCTGAGCACCGAAAAGGTCTTGCATCTACCACAGCGAAGTTAGTATGGAATGGTATGACCCGATACTATAGTAGGATCTACACAAGAGTTGTGTTAGAATGCCATCTTTCCGAATTCAGAAACCAATAGAATGTGGAACCTCACATATGGGGCAAGTCAAATTAGAGATCCATTTTACTGAACCAGATTAATCCCATATAGCTTGGCCTCTCTCTCCCGGGTGGCCAGTGGTCTGTAAAAGGCACTGCACAAAGCATGAATTCTGTAGTTCCAGCAATCACCTCCAAAAATGTCTGAGGCACTTGCTATTGCAAACACCAGAGTCCAAAATCTAACTCACAATTTTCAGAGCACGAAGCAAAATATTTCATCACAGAACCCCCAGTATTTTAAAGCATCAACAAGCACAACACATATGGGAAGGCTATGTGTGATTAGGGTTAAGTTAGTAATGCCTCTTTAGACTTCTAGTCCAATATGGCAGATAGGCAGGCTATTGTTTTAGTCTTTTGCTTCTAGCCATGGTTAGTTGTTGCATTTTCTCCCATATCTGGATTCAAAGTATAGTTCCTTCACCCGGCTACTGAGCTAAGTGCATGGATAATGTGAACTACGGATTTCATTTTGAATAACTTTGGACTGTGCCTTACGTTGTGAGCAGCAGATTCAGAAAATGGACAGTGGCCTACTGTCATAGAACTGAAAGTGCCTTTTGAAATACTGTGTGTGCAAGTGCCAAATTGGTGTTAGTTCTTCTTCCTATGACAATGAACTGCAACTCTAGTGACACACTGCTTGCACTGGCACTTCTGATGGTTCCTTTTTAAATTTTATCCATGTGCCATCTATACGTTTTGACAAGGCTGCTATCTGCTTCAGTTTCTTCAGCTATGGGTTTTGATGAAACTGCTATCTGCTTCAGTTTTTTCAGCTATGAGTTTTGACGAGACTGCTATCTGCTTCAGTTTTTTCAGCTATTGGTTTTGACGAGACTGCTATCTGCTTCAGTTTCTTTACAAGGGACAGCAATGAAAATTTGGTGTGATTTCAGCTACCACAGGAAAGGGGCAACTATGGGGTGACCTGTTAGCTGCAAAAGTGGAAACTGCAATCAACTGGTAACATCTCTTCCAGTTTGTTGGAATTTTACTGTAAATAGACATCAATTCAATGCTATGGGGAGTATGAGACATGTAACACTATTCTGAACATCATGAGAAGGGAAAATGGCATGACAACAGAGTCAGCAGGACTGGTGCCATCGGAATTGGAACTCATTGCTTGCTGATGAAGATGGGGATAGAGCGCTTATTGGAGTCTCCAGAGTGCTATGATGATGTCAATTCTTAATTCAACATTCAACAGAGTCAGCAGGAAGGCTCAGACAGTAGAGAAACATGAGAATAAATTTGAAAGCCTTTATATCAAAAAGAGATTAGTAAACAAGATGGCACTCTAAATAACGGTCCCAAATTATCGAGGTTAAAACATACCCTAACAGGGCCTCAATGATAGGTGAAATAAGGATTTATTTCTGGCAAATATGGCAAGCAGGCAGGCCATCAGCTCTGACACAGATTAGAAATAATGTTCCATCGACTGATGATGTGGCAGCTGTAGATGTTTTTTGCCTTGAGGTTAGGTATAGAGTTAGGGTTGGGGATAATTATATTTTATTTCAAAGTTTCCAATAGTTATACTAGATTACCTATTGAGGCCCTGTTAAGGTATGTTTTTAACCTAGATAATTTGGGACTGTTATTTGGAGGAGTGCCAACAAGATTATATTAATTTTACTAACATTCTGAAATATATTTTGACACAAGCAGTTTGTGCTTTTCACTTCTGTCTGTGATATCTATAACAACTAAAGTCAGGCAGACCCAGAGATGGGATACTCAGATAAGTAACTTCTGTTTCAATGCTTTTTTTTTTTTGTATCTATATGTTTGGATATCATTACATCTTAATGTTATTTTAGTGTCTCCTTTGTGTTTGAGGTTATGATTATACCAAGTGTAAAATATGATCACCCAAATGCCTTAGGTGGTCAGTCTAAACAGTTCTGTCAAACTTACAATAAAGAACAATATACAAATATACATCAGCCACAGCTGAAATAAACTGCTACTTTTATCAAAGATAAGTCCCCGTGTGGGTTCCGGGGCCCTATTATAGGGTAAACAAGAATAGGCCCACTGCCTACTCAAAAGCAGGTCGTAAGAGTCGACTAATTGGGAGCTTCCTTTGAAGTCGGAGTGCATCTGCCAGAGAGGCAAGGAACCAACAGTCTGCACACAAATTAGTCAGATCTGTCAAACGGATGCACACGTAACACTGAGGTTCTGGAACAGAACTTTCCACCAGAGTTAACAGCTGGTGAACGCAAAGAAGAAGAAGATCAGAGATAATGTTTAAAAAAAAAAAGGTTTATCTGCGAAAGAAGAGAATAAAAAAATGTAAGAATACAGATTTGTCAATGTGACATTTTCTGGGTTTCTTCTTCATTTTTTCTTATACAGCTAATCCCTTTTCTTCCTAATATATATTTAAAAAAAAAAAGCATTATTCATAGCATTTCAAATTTTACCAAAATTAACCTCCCTTCATTTAAGCATTCACTAATGTAATTACCTTCCTATTATGCTGTAACAAAACAATAAAGTAGTTAAATTGTGATGTCATAAAAAGGCTAATGTTATTTGTTTTGTAAAGTTGCATATCTTTTCAGGACTGCAAACCAAACCACATATGTACTGGCTGTTTTGCGGTTTTATTAGACAATTTTAAATTCCCCAGTTTGCCACTGCTTTCTAAAGTTGCACAAAGTTTTGCTGATGCTAGCAGGGAGTCCAAAGGCTCTGCCCCAAACTACTGAGCTATGTGCTTGATGCAACACTGTAAGCTGTGAATTTCATGTGGAATGTTTTTTCTTTTGTGATCGTTTTTTTTTCTTCTGTGCACATGGGGTGTTGTTGACTGCACCAAAATGGCCGGTGGCCAATTACACAAAGAATGTCATATTCTTTTGTGGGTGCAATGCCGGCTTTCATGACTAACCATTTCAACCAAGAGTGTGCTGCAATTCTGGTGTGGGACTATCAGTGTTGGCATATCTAACAGCTGTATTTTGCATTTTTACTTAGTGTGCGCAAACGTCCAGATTTTGCTGGAATTGAAGCGGAAAGTTTTTGACTAGTTTACAAATGAAACAATGAAGGACATTTTGTGTGATATCTCATGGATCAGAAACAGATAGGAGAAGTTCGCTACAAAACGCATGCAGTTAAATGGAACCTTGAATTTTAGAATCATGAAACTGCATTCATAATCCCTAAACCAAAAACTAATGCAAAGGACACAATCAGTTACCTTCAAGTGTCTTTTTTGAGATGGGCAGATCACTGAATGTCTTGATGGTAGCTGGGGTGATTTCCTGATGTTGACCAAAAAAAAGAGAAAACTGTAAAAGCAATTCTTTATGACATTATTTTAACATTTTCAAAATCAACAGACATTTCTTTCTCAAGAATATCTTGGCTTGCATGATGACACAGTCTAAAATAGGTACCAGGTAATGTACTGGGAAGTAAAGGCAGCCAGACTGATGCTGACCACATGACCCCTCAAATGCCGATTGGTCAAGAAAAATATGGGTCTAGCACCATATAGAAGATGCAACAAAGGAGTAAAAGTGATTGTCTGAATAAACAAAGTTATACAGTGAACTATGTAGTTTTATCCCAGAACTCGAGTTGTGTGTGCACATCCATTTTACAGATATGGCTTATTTGTATGCAGAATGTTGGTTCTTCAACTCTCAGGCAGATGCACTCAGACTTTAAAGGAGACTCAAAATTAGTCACCTTGTATGACAAGATTATTACGGAGGCAGTGGGTCTATTCTCCAAACGCCCCCACACAGGGAATCTTGTTTTGCCGGGAAAGGACAACTAAGAATGAAGCTGAGTAGATCATAGGATACAACTCTGACCGAGTGGCTCACATACCAGCTCGTGACTAAAGTTGCTCGATAAATTGTTAAACAATATGAAAGAAGGATGGAATACTTTCCTCTGTCCTATGAATCAGATGTCTAGGGTTCCCTCTGTGGATTCTGGGGCCCCACTGGGAGTGGAGAGGGTATAAGGTGGACAATTGGAGGGGTACAGGTGGTAGGTAGGTGCTGCGCTGGGGAAAAAATGAAAAATTGTCACATTCAAAAAGCAAGCCCGAAGAGGAAGCTTTAGGTTATAACTGTAACTAGGTTCTGTGTGCCATATAAAATGGCTTAGCACTGCATGCCACTAAGAGCCCTGAAAAGGACTCCTGCAGTGTTGATGGATCAAAGGAGAGAGACCCAAATATTGTCCAGACTGGTGACCAAATCATCTCCCAAAGAGCAACCCTGTCTCCAGTGTGGGGATACATAGCCAGTGAGGGGATACAGAGTCAGTGAGGGGATACAGAGTCAGTGAGGGGATACAGAGTCAGTGAGGGGATACAGAGCCAGTGAGGAGGTACAGAGCCAGTGAGGGGATACAGAGCCAGTGAGGGAATACAGAGCCAGTGAGGGAATACAGAGCCAGTGAGGGGATACAGAGCCAGTGAGGGGATACAGAGCCAGTGGGGGGGGTACAGAGCCAGTGAGGGGATACAGAGCCAGTGAGGAGGTACAGAGCCAGTGAGGGGATACAGAGCCAGTGAGGGGATACAGAGCCAGTGAGGAGGTACAGAGCCAGTGAGGAGATACAGAGCCAGTGGGGGAATACAGAGCCAGTGAGGGGATACAGAGCCAGTGAGGGGATACAGAGCCAGTGGGGGGGATACAGAGCCAGTGAGGGGATACAGAGCCAGTGAGGAGGTACAGAGCCAGTGAGGGGATACAGAGCCAGTGAGGGGATACAGAGCCAGTGAGGAGGTACAGAGCCAGTGAGGAGATACAGAGCCAGTGGGGATACACAGCCAGTGTGGGGATACACAGCCAGTGAGGAGGTACAGAGCCAGTGAGGAGGTACAGAGCCAGTGAGGGGATACAGAGCCAGTGAGGGGATACAGAGCCAGTGAGGGGATACAGAGCTAGTGAGGGGATACAGTCAGTGAGGGGATACAGAGCCAGTGGGGGGATACAGAGCCAGTGAGGGAATACAGAGCCAGTGAGGGGATACAAAGTCAGTGAGGGGATACAGAGCCAGTGAGGGGATACAGAGCCAATGGGGGGGGGGGGGATACAGAGCCAGTGAGGGGATACAGAGCCAGTGGGGGGATACAGAGCCAGTGAGGGGATACAGAGCCAGTGAGGAGATACAGAGCCAGTGAGGGGATACAGAGCCAGTGGGGGGATACAGAGCCAGTGAGGGGATACAGAGCCAGTGAGGAGATACAGAGCCAGTGGGGATACACAGCCAGTGTGGGGATACAGAGCCAGTGAGGGGATACAGAGCCAGTGAGGGGATACAGAGCCAGTGAGGGGATACAGAGCCAGTGAGGGGATACAGAGCCAGTGAGGGGATACAGAGCCAGTGAGGGGATACAGAGCCAGTGGGGGGATACAGAGCCAGTGAGGGGATACAGAGCCAGTGAGGAGATACAGAGCCAGTGGGGATACACAGCCAGTGTGGGGATACAGAGCCAGTGAGGAAATACAGAGCCAGTGAGGAGGTACAAAGCCAGTGAGGGAATACAGAGCCAGTGAGGGGATACAGAGCTAGTGAGGAGGTACAGAGCCAGTGAGGAGGTACAGAGCCAGTGAGGAGGTACAGAGCCAGTGAGGAGATACAGAGCCAGTGGGGATACACAGCCAGTGTGGGGATACAGAGCCAGTGAGGAGGTACAGAGCCAGTGAGGGGATACAGAGCCAGTGAGGAGGTACAGAGCCAGTGAGGGGATACAGAGCCAGTGAGGGCATACAAAGCCAGTGAGGAGATACAGAGCCAGTCTATTTTAACAGTATGTTGTAAAAGGCAACTAGGCTATCTTCCGAATAACGGTCCTAAATCATCTAGGAAGAAAATATACCCCAATAGGGCCTCAGTCATGTGTCAATTGCGCACTTCCGGAGACTATACTGCCATCGCCGAGAGTATCCCCCCCACGCCGCTCACGCAGGGCTAAACTAAAATCCCCAAAAAAAATCAAAGCAGCTGCAGTAAATGCGGTAGCTGCTGCTCGTGAGTCCCAGCCATCTAGTTTAACTCCAATCCACGCCGCGTGAGCGGCATGAGGGATATTCTCGGCAGTGGCGGAAGTGCGCAATTAAAGTCGCAGGAAGTGTGCATTGACACGTGACCGAGGCCCTGTTAGGGTATATTTTCTGCCTTGATAATTTGGGACCGTTATTCGGAAGATAGCCGGCAACTAATTAGGAGTCTGCTGATATTGGATTTGTTGGGCTAACAGGAAAGGTGCAGACACTGTATTCTAGCTGTGACTCAAAGCATAAGACTTCACCCCTCCTTGTAATGCTGAAATCAGATGTCAAGGGTGAAAAAGGCTTAGATGATTTTTGGCTTATGTGAAAATTGCACAAATCAAAAAACCCTGTAACTGGAAACTGTTTTTAAAATCTTTGGCCAGATAACAGACTACCCATGTTAGCAGGACAATCATGGCATGCCATTGCAGAGGGAAAAAATGGGCAGGTTGTGATTATGTGATTACCCCAACAACAATAATGTTCTAGGTTATGGAGGACTCAAGACCTGAATAACTGTGCAATAATATACATTTATTATTATTGTGCATTCAATCAAGGCTTCAGCCTTTTCAGGCCTCTGCCTCTAGAAAATTATTTGAAAGAGGACTCAACAAGCATTAGGGGTGTTTCTTTCAAAGTCAGATAGGCGTCTGTGGCTTAGACGTTGTGAACACTCACAATAATGCTGGGTTGGATTCCAGCTGTGGATGATTTGTCTTGCATTGGTTTCAGAAGTGGTACTGAGAGCTGACCACTGAGGAAGCAATGGCAAACTACTCAGCGTAAAATTTGTATAGAAAACCACAATAGACACCCCTCCCTCCCTCCACCAAAAAAAAAAAAAGCTAGGCTGGTTCTGAAACATCCAGTAAAGGATACGCAACTAACTATAAGCAAATACTTTAAACTTAAACATAATTTCTATAAATTATAATATAAATAATTCAACAATTAAAAGTAAAAAGCGGGTCTTTAAATTCCCTTTCAAAATTACCGGGGGAAATCCAGTGGCTTCTAACCCCACCCCCCGACTTTCCAATACTTTTGGGAGTTAGTTCAAGGGACCTGAGCTCCCAGGTTCTGACACTTATGGAAGAAAAATTGTCTTGTAAATATAGTAAATCCACAATGAACAGATCTTGAAAAATCATTGCTGCTTCCTCTTGTTCAAGCAGGGTCTACACCCTTACCACCAAACTACTTCCCTGGGTATAAATAATGAGTGAGTGTTATTAGGCTATATTTACCTCCTTAGGCTGTCCAAACTTTGGCCATAATTTATCGCTCAATGCTTCGATCTCTGCATCATCTGTGTGTCTTTTTTTCTTTCGTTTCTCTTGAATCTTCTTAAAATTCGCTGTTCTTTTGACGGTCGTAACTGCTTTCTTCTTTACCAGAGAGAACTTCTGCATCTTTGACTTCATTTTCAAATATTAGTTAAAATGACAGATATAACAATTTACTTCCTTATGTATAGAGCTAGTGAATTATGTCGGTGTGGGTAAGAATTTATTATCACTTTAATGTTGCAATTCTCACGTGTTGACAGATGAAACATAAACAGGAAGTTACAGAAATCTCTCTGAGGAACTGTGTAGTAGTTACTAGCAGTACAAATTTTCTAGCTATCAGCTGCAAACCGACTTCTAATGGAGACAGAGTGAAAGATGGACTGTTCGAAAAAGGCTAAACGTAGCAAGCTTTAGACTATAGAAAGCAGTCATCGAGACAAAAATTTGCCTTAATGTAATAGAAGGTCAACATTTTTATGTCGCAAAGACATGGATTGGGTTTTACAGTCATAGCAGACACTGTTCCCAAAACCAGCGCCATTTTTTTCAATTACTGCTTCTGCTTTTCTTGTAAAAATTGTTATGAGGCTATGCCGTAATAGTTCTAATAGTAGTAGTAGTAGTAGTAGTAGTAGTAGTAGTAGTGGTAGTAGTAGTAGTAGTAGTAGTAGTAGTAGTAGTAGTCGCAGCAGTAGCAACAGTACTATTAGTAATAGGAAACTTTTGTAGTAACCGTCATTTTAAGGTGAATAACATTCTGTTCAACTCTTCTAGTTAAAACGTGAATTTATTTTCTGCATATTATCTGCCATTAAGTGAAAAAAAAACATAATTAAAAGACCCTTTTCCACGCCTTCAGGCATATAGGGCAGATAGGGCTAGACCTATATTTGATAGACCAATTGGCACAGCATGAGTGGTGTGGTCAACATCACGCCGACCGCCTTTACTTCCCGGGACTGCACCCGGTACCCATTCAAAAGGTCATTATTTTAAAAAGCCCGGCTCCGCCAGGAAACGAACGAAATTTTTAGGGATCCCTGGATGTTGTCGTATAAAATTAAAGTAACAAGAATTGTTGAAAATATTTTATCAAAAGATGCCTTTTAGAATTTCGTCGTCTGTGGCTTAGAAGTTGCGCTTCATAACATCGGGTTGCCGAGTTCGACCCTAGCTGCCTTGCATTGCTTTAGTTAGTTTATCGACAGCCGAACGTTAAGGATTTCAATAGCAAACTACTGAAAGCGAAAATTTGCCTAGAAAAACCACAACAGCCAAAGAAGGTTGGGTTGGTTTTGCAACGCTCTGTAAAGAATACGCAACTGTTTTGTTTTTTAGACTGAGCTGCAGTAACGTACAGGCTGAATGCTTGACCACTGACCAGGAGGTCGCAAGTTTGATTTTGCACCAGAGCCGATTTCTGTTCTGTAATGGACATACGGCTATCAGGTGTACCTAGCTTAAAATGGGTCCCAAGAAATGTTATTGGAAGTAAATGAGATTGCAGTATTGTTAGCCACGTCAACCCCCACCTAGGCCCCCTCCTACTCCCCTTTTGCGCCAGTTGGTCCTTTAAATGTGGGTCCAGTGCGAAATGCCTGATGTACGAAAGGCGCAGTATGGTTTCGATCGATTGATCAGTTTGTCCTCTCACTAGCATGCCATCCTGAGATTAGACCATCTTAATCTGGACGACAGACCAACAAGGCACATCGCGGATACCCCGTTCAACAACCAGAGATGTTATAATTAGGACACCGTTAACTGATTTGCTTTTATCAGTAAATCTGTTTAAACGTCTCATTAAAATAGCATTGGCAGTAGCACATTCTGTTAGATTTTGGCACGACAGGGACTCTAGATCTCGTTCACACTCTTCACGGTGCCGAAAATCAGATCCCCGCGTGCACAGATACAGTGAAAAATGCCTGCAGCGCCGCGTCCTTTACGTCTGTCCCCATGACCTCGCCAGGTACCAACTACTAGCTGTGTTTTCATTTCTACAACAGCTTCGCCAAATCGAAACTCAATCAGAACAAAAGAAACTTCCCTTAAACACACTGTCCATACATTTTCAATATTGTGATTTGCCAGCGAGACGCCAGTTGGTCTTCGTGCGTCCCATGGCGTAAGACCTCCTCCTCCTCTCTTTATGGATGTCCCGCCGTTGTGACCGACAGTTATTTGCCTAGACAATGTCTTCAAAGCTCACCGACCAGTCATGGGCGCCACCTGTTGTTTCTGTTAAACAATGGGTGTCCATCCTTGTTTTCTATTATTTGCGCACTTAATAGGACACCGCGTAGATTTAGTCAAGATACTTTTACAACTGTCCTTTTAAGTGTGTATGTGAAAATCTTTGAAGTATTCGCACAATTTTAAGACACAGAAACACTAAAGAATGCATGGCATACTTTAATTATAGGTAATAATTACGAACATAAGGATAGTCAATGTGACGATGACGATGATCATCAATTTACACTTCTGCAAAAAAGCTACACAGGGAACAACAGTTTACCTTGCAGCGCTTGATTGCTTGCACTGGCTAACGTCATTTCGAATGAGCGTACATTGTCTTTAATTGTTTAGGTTTAGGGCCTGCAAGGGTAGTTATTGTAGCTGTACTTTA